TGCCAGTTTAAAAACAAAAACAGGAACTAATCATTCAAATGCTCATCCACCATAACATTGTTTAAGGTAGCCCAAGAATATAAACAGGGGGGTTGGGCTGGAATAAAATCATTTGAGAAGTAGGACAATATTCTAATTAAAACTGCTGGAGAAATTCTCCCTCTTTCTCTCTTTCTTACTCACCAGATCAGAAAGTTGGGGGGGGGGACACCACTCAAAACCAGGAATATCAGGGTGCTAACTATTAGCCAAAAATTACAAGTACAAAATAAGACAAATTTGATTCCATGTGTTTGCTGTTTAAAAAAACACATGGGAAATATCAAGAACATCACCCCCAAATGAAAAAGAAATGTAGAAATGTAAGATCATTTCTGCTTCCTCCAATTTTCTTTCTTGCTCCGTCCTCAATTACTTGAGTACTTCTCTGTCACATAATAGGAATCCCGATTTTTGCCAGATGGACAAAGATAACCTCATTCTAGCTAAAAGCAATTTGGACTTTGCAGCTGAGTACAAGAGACACTTAAGAAGATAATGCAGGAAAACTCAAGGACCTAAAATAGTGGCATTCATAATGACTCCATCCAGGGCCCAGAATTCAGCATCCTAAGAACCTCAGTTTTCCTTTCACATTTTAACAAATGGGACTGAAACTGCCTTGGTCACGATAGTCGATGATCTCCAGTGGGCTAGTGACAAAGGTGAAAGCTGTCTCGCCAGAGTGGTGCATGCTCTGGTTATCTCCCACTTGGACTACCGCAATGTGCTCTTCGTGGGGCTACCTTTGAAGGTGACCTGGAAACTGCAACTAATCCAGAATGCGGCAGCTAGACTGGGGACTGGGAGCGGCTGCGGAGACCATATAACACCAGTTCTGAAAGACCTACATTGGCTCCCAGTACATTTCTGAGCACAAATCAAAGTGTTGGTACTGACTACACGGCCTCAGCCCAGTATATCTGAAGGAGCATCTCCACCCCCATTGTTCTACGCGATTTTCAGCGTCTGGGCATGCGCAGACGTGATCTCTGCCAGTCCAGCCCACGGAGGATCTCTGCGGGAGTGATCCGGCCCATGCCCGGTAAGCCTTGCTGACCCCTGGGCTGGGGGAACCCAGCCAGATGGGTGGGGTAGCGGGGTAATAATAATAATAATAATAATAATAATAAAAAATTAGACTTGGGTGCTTCAGGTATTCAATTTCTACAAATTCTAATGGTAACTGGTCTGATCTGCACCTCTAATGTGTGGATCAGAAAGGAATTATACTTTATATTCCACACTTCTCCAAACAGTAATACAGTTCTCAGCTCAAAAACAAACAAATCTCTCTCTTTTTCTTTTTGTGTGTGTGGTGATGGTAGCTTTTGCTTTAACTTCATTCTGTAAATTCTGACCCATTGCTCCATATTTATTTCCTAATGTTGAAGATGATGTAAACAACTTCTGTACTTCACTTAGTCACAATTACACTTGCAGTTATGGCTTTTTGTTTTCCTTTGCTTGTTTTGTGCATCTGTTGATTTTGTGCATCTGTTGTAAATATCTATCATCTACACACACACACACACAGAGAGAGAGAGAGAGAGAGAGAGAGAGAGATCCACCCAAAGGCACTACTAAAATTTTGTTTTATATAAATAGAAATCCTGCCGATGAGAGAAAATATGAATTTAAATATGAATTTTCATGCAGATTTTTAAAGAAACCAGATAAATTCAGAAACAGGATGGAATAAAATTATGAATCAACATGAACCAGAAACAGACAGATCCATTAATTCCTCGCTGTGAAAATTAGGTTGAATAAATGAGCCCTGAGAAAAGGCAGAGGAGGATTTCCTGTGCGCATGGAGGGAGGGGGGAACCCAACGCCCTCCCTGCATAGCTCTTTCCCTTCCCCATAATGCTGAAGTGATCTCAACTGCATACACTGAAGCTGTTGAAGCTTCCTGCTCATGAAAGGCAGACAGCTGAGCCGCTCCACCCGTGCCTGGGAATACATTATGTAGCCGAGATGGATAAAGAAGTCAAAAATTGTTAACAATGTCTAGCTGTCCTAGCGGACCTGCATAATCCACCTCTAATTCCTTTCTGCACGTGCTAGCATAAGCACCTGGCTCTTTCGCACCTGCAGCCACATTCTCAGCAAAGGAGGAAACAGGAAGGTCTCTTGGGTAAACACACGCATGCACACACCCTCTACGCTTGCACCGTGTCTCAGGAGCATGACAGAGTGCAGCCAAGGGGGGTTCTGTGCCTCATGTTTGTTCAAGCAAAAGGCATACAAAAGGCTAGGAGGGATTGTGGTCCCTGAAGCTGCATTTACTGCTCACTGGGCCCAGAGCCAACGCTCCATTACATATGACCGGGTGCTTTTGAAATGCAATAAGAGCATCGCTCAGATCAATTGACTTGCTCACCCCCAGGCGGACTTCCACCACCTGCTTAGGAATGCTGATCAATTCAGCATCAATCACTCCCTCCCCTTTTCAGTCCAGTTCTCCCAAACCCCCTTATATCCCATAAACACCTCACCCCCACTCACAACATGCAGAATTTAACCCTGTGCAACCCATAGGCCATGCGGCAAACAAGGTCTTTCTGCAGAAGAAGTCAAGGTGGAAGAAAGCCCATTTTGCTCAACATTTAAGGACTGCAATCCTCAAACTTCATTGACATTACTACACAAAGGAAGGATTGGCACAAAACATATATTGGGTGACTGCCCAGGTCTTGTCCCTCCCCTCCTCCCGGTGGCACTGAGAACATTGAGAAAAAAGCCGCTGGATCAGACCAGAGGGTCATCTAACGCAGCCCCTCCTTCCCAGAGCTTCGCCAGATGCCTCCAGCAAGCTCACCCTGAGGACATGAAGGCTCAGCTTAGAAAGCACAGGCCCAAGCGATTCTCTTCGTGCCCCACACCTTTCCCAGAGAAAACCCACTCTTTAGCTTTAAGTCAGGACAAACAGCAATCCAAAGAAAACCTGGTTGCCATTTGCTCCACCTGAGTGCTAAAGAGGGATTTTCTCTGGGAGGAAGCAGCCAAATAAGAGGAAATGAAATTGAAAGCCCTCAGCCATTGCTGCTCCCTGGCCAATGGTATCTAAGGGAACCAGAGCTAGAGTCCCTGACAGAGATGGCCACCCAAACTCTGTTTTAATGTAATGGAAGGGTGTTCTTTGTAGTCCACACCCACTCTTACACACTACCCTATTTTTCGCTCTATAAGACGCACTTTTCCCCTCCTGAAAAGTAAGGGGAAATGTGTGTGCGTCTTATGGAGAGTATGCAGGCAGGAGGCTCTGCTCAGTGCTCCCTTTAAAGAGCCACATGGAGCGTGTGTGCGTGGCTCTTGGGGAAGCCTTCATCCCGCTGCCTGGGAGAGGCTGCGCATGGTTATCCTATAAGCCAGGACAGCAATAGGCTATCCCAGAAGCCAGATCCCTCTTGCTGTTCTGGCTTCTGGGATTCAGAATATTTTTTTTTCTTGTTTTCCTCCTCCAAAAACTAGGTGTGTCTTATGGTCTAGTGCGTCTTACAGAGCAAAAAATACGAAAATACGGTAATTCACAAGCAAGCAAAGCCTGGGGATTGTAACTTAAAAGGCACCACGCCAGCAGCAGTGAACATCTTCCATAGTGGGGATGGGGAACCTGTGACCCTCTGGGAGGAGTTGTTGGACTGCAGCTGCCTTCCTCCTTGACCACTGGCCACACTGGCTGGAACTGGTGGGTGTTGATGCCCAACCAGATCTGGATGGGCCCCTGTCCCCCATCCCTGTACTAAGTTAACACTTGTCCACTTCACTGACACAATTGCTAACTCCAGCTCCATGAATGACACTACAGATTGATTATGTGTGCAATTAGTAAACATGCATTTTGGAAAGGAGTTAGCACAACAGAGTGGCTAGCCTAAGAGTGAGTTAGAGTCCAACAGCATCTGGAGGTCCATCAGTTCCCCATCAGCTGAGATTCTTGCATTGCTGGCGGTTGGACTAGATGACCCCTTGGAGCAGAAATGCCTTCCATACAGGGACAGAGGAGAGATTCAATTCTGCTTGCATTTTAGTGAGAAACTAATTCACACTTCTTGGACCAATGTGGAAACGCAGAAATGCTTCAAAATTTGGACTTCTCTGGATTTTGTGATGCCGTTCTCCAACCAGAGCATACAAAAATGGGTGTTTTGGGGAAAATGTGCCTGAAACACATATATTGGTGAAAATAACACACAAAAATCCATTGCACTGGGGAAACAGCTTGCAAAAATGTGCATCTTAGTCAAAACTACATGCAAAAAAATTGTGTTTTTTCGGAGAAATTCACACCAAAGCTCTAACAATTTTTTAACGATAATGTTGGCAATGCTCTTGCCTCCATGGTCAGAGGCAACGATGCTTCTGAATTCTAATTGCTAGAAAACATGGGAGGGGAGAGTGCACTTCTCTCAGGTTTCCCAAAAGGGACATCTTATTGGTCACTGTGAGAAGAGGATGCTGGACTTGATGGGCCATGGGCCTGATCCAGCAGGCTCTTCTTAGATAAATTGCAGATTGCAGAAGAAATGTGGGAAACTGGAATTAAGACTGGAAAAATGAGAAGCTGAGAGAACTGAAACTGACAGATTCTACTTGCATCACACACACACAAGCTGCACTTAATGCCCGCTGAGCGTTGCATTAAATAGCTCTTCAGGCAGAAGCCCACGGCACTGCTTGGATAGCCTTTCAGAGAACCTTTGCAAAGCAGCCTCTCCCTTACAGCAAAATCCGCAGAGCTAACCCATGGCATTTCATCCTTCAATCTAGTTGTCTTGTGCTTCCAGAGTGTCTTCAGGATGGGTGCAGTTTTATCACCACTTTAGGCAGCTGTGCTCACCCTCAAACCCCAAGACTTGTTATAAATAGCATTGGCTAATGTCTCCCCATCCCTCAGCTGCTGCTCTGCCTTGACGCTTTAACTGCCCTTTACAATAACTACAGCTCACGGCTGATTAATATCGATCGCCATTTCCTTTGCGTCGAGACGTTTGCCAGGCAAACTCAATCAAGGCCTCCGCAATTATCGTCGTCATCTGCAGACAGAAGCATGCACATGTTCTAGCGACACAAAGGGGGGAAGGGAGCCCCTCCCTCCAGCACACATCTTCCCTGTCAAATGCTACAGGATAAGTGAAAGTGATTTCATGCTTTTTATTCAGCTCATAGTGGTGAGGAGGAATGAATGAAAGTCCCCTCACAGTATCTGCTTTATATACATTATTTACACAATGGGCTGCACATGATTGGCTAATTCCCAGAATTCTACTGTAAGCCAATCAGGTTGTGGATTCACTTCTATCTGGAGCATGATTGGGTGGTTCCTGCCAACCAATCCTACTGCTGCATTGTTCTAGGACCAATCAGACTGCTGCATTCTGAATCCTATTGTTCTAGGACCAATCAGACTGCTGCATTTTGGATCCTATTGTTCTAGGACCAATCAGACTGCTGCAGTTTGGATCCTATTCAACTCAGTACATAACACCCCCCCCTCTAAGTTCCAGTCCTGCCCGGGAGGTCGCATTCATAGTCCTCAAGGTATGCCGGCGGCCTACGTGTGCGTTGCGGCCTGGGGTGTTCCCTGGTCCGGGCTCCAGGTTCTGGTTCGTGTTCCAAGGATGCTGGCTGTGATGGGGCTGTTTGGTCTGGCGCAACCGGCTCGCTCAGTCGTGGTTTTGGTTCCGGTATCCTTTCGGCCTCGCGAGTCCTCTCTGTATTTACTAATTCTGCCTCTCCTGCTGGCCCCTCCTGCTCTATGGGCCTCACTGCCCCGCTGTTCCCTTGGGACTCCTCTGACCTGTCCTCCTCCTGGTTTTCTCCCGGGAATCATCGCTGTATCTGGTCGCAGTGGTGGTGCCAGCATTGCCCCCCATCCGTTAGCACCTCGTACGACACAGGGCCAGTGACCCTGGTGACTGTGGCGGGTACCCATGCTGGGCCTGCCCCAAAATTCTTTGCGTACACTGGGTCCTGGGCCTCGAAGGTCCGGGGGTTCCTGCCTCCCCCACCACTACCTCATCCTGAGCTCTATCGGGGTGAAGGCGGTCCAATCTGATTGCAAGGCGCCGACCCATTAGTAGTTCAGCGGGGCTCCGGCCAGTCGTTGAGCTGGGGGTGCTGTGCTGTGCTAGAAGGAATGTGGCAAGGCGGTACTCCCAATCCCCTTGCGTCATGCGGCGAAGGGTGTCCTTGGTGGTCCGCACCATGCGTTCTGCTTGGCCATTGGTGGCAGTGTGGAACGGCGCCGAACGGATGTGGCAGATGGCGTTCTGCGCTGTGAAGGTTTGGAATTCTCCTGACGTAAATGCAGTCCCGTTGTCTGAGACGAGACTGTCAGGGAGCCCGAGGGTTGCAAACAGCCTGCGTAGTACCCGGATGGCTGCGGACATGGAAGTGGACGGTACCAGTGCGACTTCCAGCCATTTGGTGTAGGAGTCCACCACTATGAAGAATGTTTTCCCCTGAAAGGGGCCAGCGAAATCCACATGCAGGCGTGACCATGGTGCTCGGGCGGACTCCCAGGACTGGACTGGGGCCGTTGGGGGATCTGGGCGGGATTCTTGCCAGGCCTGGCAGTGTTTTACCCAGGCCTCTATCTCTCCGTCGATCCCTGGCCACCACACATAACTTCTGGCAAGGGCCTTCATTCTTACTACCCCTGGGTGTGTCTCGTGTAGGGCTGTGAGGACCCTTTTGCAGAGGGGCTGGGGAACAACGACCCTGCTTCCCCATAACAGGCACCCCTTGTGGGCCGACAGTTCATGTTTGCGGGTTGTGTAGCCGGCGAATTCTGGCCCAGGGCTTCTGCTGGGCCATCCCCTCCACACCCAGTCCAGGACCCGGGAGATGACCCTATCTTTCTTGGAATGGTGGGCAACTTCTTGTGCCTGAATGGGGCGGTCGGGAAGCAGCTCCAGGCTCATAACCTCTTGTGCAGGTGCTGGGTCAGGGCCTGTTTCCAGTAGTGGTAGCCCACTGAGGGCGTCCGCATGGCCCATTGCCTTCCCAGGGCGGTGAATCAGTGCATACTGGTAGCTGGCAAGGAAAATTGACCACCTGAGGACGCGAGGACTTGGGGGGTCTGCTTTTCGGGGGCAAACAAGCCAAGTAACGGCTTGTGGTCAGTCACCACGGTGAAGGGCCACCCGTACAAGAAATCATGGAATTTTTTTACTCCCTTCATGATTGCCAGACCCTCCTTGTCTATTTGCGAGTAGTTCCGCTCGGTTGCGTTGAGTGTCTGGGAAAAGTATGCCACCGGTACCTCTCTTCCATCTGGGAGTTGGTGTCCCAGGACAGCGCCAATGCCATAGGGCGAGGCGTCGCATGCTAGCACCACCGGCAGCCTCTCGTCGAAGTGTGCCAAGACTGAGTTTGAGACAAGCAAGTCCTTGACTGCCTGGAATGCGGCCTCCTGGCGCTGGCCCCACACCCAAGGGGCCCGCTTGTCCAGGAGTCTGTGTAGGGGCTCCGCTACCGCCGCCTTGTGGGGAAGGAAGGAATGGTAAAAGTTCAATAGTCCCAAGAAGGCCTGAAGTTCAGTCTTGCTCTTGGGCGCTGGGGCATCACAAATGGCCCATACCTTGTCCCCAGTCGGGTGGACTCCTTCTGCATCCACCATAAATCCCAGAAAGTCCACCTGAGGCACTCCTAGTAGGCATTTTTCCCGCTTCACCTTGAGACCCGCCGTCTGGAAACGGTGCAGAACGGTGCGGAGGTGGTCCTCAAACTCCTCTGGTGTGGGCCCGGCAATCAAAACATCATCGAAGAAGGGGGTGACGCCAGGAATCCCTTTAAGGAGAGAGTCCATTAGATTCTGGAATATGCCTGGTGCCACGCTGACACCAAATTGCAGCCACTTTACCCTGAACGCTCCTCTGTGCGTCACAATCGTCTGTGCCTCTGCTGTGGCCTCATCTACTGGCAGCTGTTGATATGCTTGGGCCAAGTCCAGCTTGCCCAAAATTTTCGACCCAGCCAGGGTGGCAAGGACATGGCTGACCACTGGCACTGGGTATGCGTGGGCCGTGAGGGCCTTGTTTATGGTACATTTGTAGTCTGCGCAGATGCGGACCGAACCATTAGGCTTGACGGGTGTGACAATTGGGGTTTCCCAGGGGGCATTAGGCACCGGCTCCAGCACTCCTTGCTCCATGAGCCGGTCCAGTTCCTCGTCTATACGGGGTTTCAAGGCGAACGGGACCCGGCGGGCCTTGAGCCTGACCGGTCGTACTGTGGGGTCAAGCTGTAGTGCAATGGGGGGGCCGTATACTGTCCCAATTTCCCATCGAAAACCCCTGGAAATTCCTTGCATATGGCGTCCACGTCCACTTGTAAGCTAGTGTGGTTCACCCCGGTGACGGCTAGCCCCAGTGGTCCAAACCATGCCAATCCCAGTAAGCTAATGTAGGGGCCCTTGACCACAAGCAAGTCTAGTTGCCGCGTCCGCCCTCGGTATTGCACCCTGAAGGTCCCCACCCCCATTGTGGAGACCTTACGTTTCTGGAAGTCCCGTAGGGTGAATGGGGCCGGCCTGAGTTTGGGACCCCCAGTAGGACACAGTTTCCTTAAGGTCCTTGCCGAGATTATGGATAGAGTTGAACCCGTGTCAAGCTCCATGCGGCATGGGGCCCCCTCTATCTGTACCTCTACATAAATTTTCTCTACGTTGGGGTGGGGCAACTGGTATACCTGGAAGTCCGTGAGCTCCGTCGAGTTGCCTTAGTGCGTTGGGCTCCGGGACCTGGGGCTCTTGGATTGGTCATCTGATGCCTGGTGTCGGGTGGGCCGAGCCCGACACACCCAGGCGATGTGTCCCGATTTTCTGCACTGCCGGCACTCTGCGTTGCGGAAACGGCAGGTCCTCCTCTCGTGACTCTCCCCGCAGCTTGCGCAGTTCCCTCCTTCTTGTTGAGGCAGCTGTGGTATGTGTGCTGCTTGAGTGCGCTGCTGTACTCGGTGCACCTCCTCTCTGTCAGATCCTGAGTCGTCGGTGAGGTCTTTGTGGTGGACCCTCGGTTGGGATGGCAGGCTCGGCCGTGCCTCTTGCGTTTACCTCTCGGCAGCTTCCGTTGCCAGGGCCTCCTCCAGAGCGACCTGGAACGTTAGGTCCTTCTTAGCGTAGAGGTGTCGTTGCAGCTTCTCATCCTTCAGGCCACCGACGAGGCGGTCACGAAGCATGTTCTCCAGCTCTGAGAAGTTGCAGAACCGGGCGGCTTGGCGGAGAGAGGTCACAAACCCAGTTATGGTTTCACCAGGGGCTTGCCGCTTTGTGTAGAAGGCATTTCGACGAGCCACCACTGAGGGCTGCGGCGAAAAGTGCCCCTTCAGCTGTTCCATTATTGTTTTGTATGGAACAGTAGCGACGTCTTCAGGTGCAAGGAGAGCCCGGGCGATTTCAAACGTCTCCTCTCTGCAGACACTGAAGAATATCGCCCTCTTCTTGGCGTCTTCTTCGTCGGTGACCCCTTTGGCTTCTAGGAGGAAGGTGAAACGGGAGGTGTACGCTTCCCAGTCTCCAGATGCTGGGTTGAACGGCGAGAAGCTGCTGTCGGCTGCCATTCTGAGTTCCTTGTGTCCCAGAGCTTAAGCCTGGATACACGGTGCGAGGCAGCGGTGCGGCAGGTGGCGGTGCTGCGGTGCTGTGTGTGGCCGTCAGCTCAGCGAGATCCCACCCTCGTCGCCAGTGAAATATACTCAGAGTCGCAAAGTGATTTCATGCTCTTTATTCAGCTCATAGTGGTGAGGAGGAATGAATGAAAGTCCCCTCACAGTATCTGCTTTATATACATTATTTACACAATGGGCTGCACATGATTGGCTAATTCCGGAATTCTACTGTAAGCCAATCAGGTTGTGGATTCACTTCTATCTGGAGCATGATTGGGTGGTTCCTGCCAACCAATCATACTGCTGCATTGTTCTAGGACCAATCAGACTGCTGCATTTTGGATCCTATTGTTCTAGGACCAATCAGACTGCTGCAGTTTGGATCCTATTCAACTCAGTACATAACAGTAAGAACACAGGGATCTTGGAAATAAGTGCTTTTGAATAAAATATGGTTGGTGCTTTCTCTGAGACAAGTCCCTATCTGGTCAGGTTTTTATTTCTGTGATGCAGGAATCACAGCTGATGGATCCTTGGCAGATAGCCCCCCAACCTCTGCTTAGAAACCTCCATAGAAGGAAGGTCCACCATCTTCCAAGGGAGGATGTTCTGCTGTCAAACAGCTCATACGGTCAGAAAATTATTTCTGAATCTCCTTTCCTATAACTTGAAGCCATTGGTATGGGTTGTACCCTGCGGAGCAGGAGAAAACAAACTTGTTCCGTCCTTCATGTGACAGCCCTTTAGACATTTGAAGATGGCTTTTGTATCACTCTCCTCTCTCCCAGGCTAAACATAACAACAACAACAAATTTTTATTTTTATTTATATCCCACCCTCCCCAGCCAAATCCGGGCTCAGAGCGGCTACCAACAATAAAAGTAACACAGTTTTCATAAAATCACAATCAATTAATTGAAATGCATTCTAAAATCAATTCATTCTAAAATCAATTCAGAATCAAATTAATGGCAACCATTGGGCCAGAGTCGGCCACAACTGGACCTAATGGTCAGGGGTCCCTTTATCCTTACCTTTAAGGTATGTATTTCCCACCACATTGACCAGGAACAGAGACCTGCGCCCCACCCCCGATGCTGCTGGGCTCCATTTCCCATCATCCCTGACTGTGGGCCATGATGGCTGGGGGCTGATGGTAGCTGGAGTTCATAGCATCTGGAGGGCCACAGGTCCTCCATTCCCGGCACAGACCAAAAGTCATTGACTTACCAGCACCCCTGAAAATATATTCTCAAAAAGCAGCTCAGGGCTGTATCCTGGCGAAGGGAGGTGGAGTTTGGCATCACTTGGCAATCGCCTTGGCGAGGCTGGTGAGGAGGAGGCGGAAGAGGATGGCAGAGATGATGACAGCTGTTCATCAGAAAACTCTTTAATGGCTCTAGGAGATGCTTCCTGTTGAGGCTCAGGTAGGCTGGGCACCTGAGGGGAAGAGAAAGCACAGGAGTCATGCTTCCTGGATGGATGGATGGATGGATGGATGGATGGATTACATTTCTGCCCAGCATCTTCAATTCTCCAAAGGGGCACAAACCCCGGGGGAGCACCTGGAACCCTGTGGAATTTTGCTACCACTTGGCAGAGACTAGGGGTGGTGGCCAACTTCTGTAACACACACACACATCACATCTGTGGGATGTGAAACACAAGAGCAGTCAAGTACAATATTCCTAGAGTGAACATGTTTACACATGGTGAGGAATGTTTGTCCAGCCAGCAGGTAAACTTCCTGTCTCCTTCTGGGCAGGGACAGACTTCCTCTGCATGTGACTAGAGGTGGGTGTGGCCTCACCTGTGCAGGTAAGGACAAAAGTACAGGGCAGGACAGCCATCTCTCTCTCTTTCACTACATGCATCAAAGAAGCAACATCTGCTTAGCCAAAGATGCCCTCTTGGCTTCCAGCCAAGACAGGACAAAGGGACTGTCTTCTTATGAGATAGTTTCTAGGTATATGTTACTTTTCTAAGCTAAGTTTGCCTTCTGGGATCTGATTGTGAACAGAATGATATGTGAGTAAACCTTTTTATACTTTTGTAGAAGACTGTGTTGTGTCTTATCTTTTATGAGGGAATAAGGGGGAAATACCAGAACTTTAGTGAGCCTGAGCAAACACATCCGCTGCAAGTTTGAAAAGGGGAATGCTAGGGTTTATTCACGAGGATTCGAACTGCCAACCTTCTGATCGGCAAGTCCTAGGCTCTGTACAAATTTATTAGCCCTGCAGGAGCCAGTAAGACTCTTCTATTGGTTTCAAGATAAACAATTGCAATATACAAATAACACACTAGAAAGCGTGATGGCAAGCTGTGGGTCATTATTTTCTTTTCACGTGGATTGCTCCCTCCGTCATTTCTAATGCAACAAATTGCAGCGCAGAAGCAGACCTGGCCCTTGCTCTGACATTTCTTACCCCGGGTGTGCAGGACTCCTCAGTGGGCCAAGGGTGTGGCTCAGGTGCAGAGTGAATCTGCTGTGGGACCGGCAGCGACTGGGAAGGTGTTGGGGAGCTGGTTCCAGCCGGCAGGCTCCTCTCCTTCAGCCTGGGGGGTGGCAGAGGACTGGTGGGTGCCTGTTTCTTGGCCACAGGCCGGTGCTCATGGAACGACACTGCGTAGGCCAGCCTCCCACAATGCATGGCCAGCTCATCGCTGCCCACCCGAAGCAGCACCAGGATGTCACCATAGCGGTACAGGTCCTCGTCTCTGCTGGCAAAGAGATTCATCCGGGGCTGGTTGGTGCGGGGGTAGATGGCGAAGAAAGCTTCCCCGGCCCGGACACTGGTCCTCAGCGAGGAACCGCGAAGGCGCAGAGCTTCTATTCGCAGCCGGGCGTCATGGTTTTTGTCATTTTTGCAGAAGCCTGGGCAGGTGGAGAGGGGAGAGCACAGCGCAAACAGCTGTTAAATTGAGGTAACATGCAAGCCATCCATAGCAAATCCAACCCCTTACCTCCAAAAAATAGTGTGGCAGACACCCCACTCAATGCTCCCTATCAAATATTATAATAAATAATAATAATAATAATAATAATAATAATAATAATTTATTTATACCCCACCCATCTGGCTGGGCCTCCCCAGCTACTCTGGGCAGCTTCCAACAGAACACTAAAATACAATAACCTATTAAACATTAAAAGCTTCCCTAAACAGGGCTGCTTTCAGATGTCTTCTAAAAGTCTGGTAGTTATTTTTCTCTTTGACATCTGGTGGGAGGGCGTTTCACAGGGCGGGTGCCACTACCGAGAAAGCCCTCGGCCTGGTTCCCTGTAACTTGGCTTCTTGTAGTGAGGGAACTGCCAGAAGGCCCTCGGAGCTGGACCTCTGTGTCTGGGCAGAACGATGGAGCTGGAGACGGACAGGGCTTTTTTCCTGGGGGGACGCATACCCCTAAACATTTTGTGAATCTAAGCTTGGCCTCATTGAGGGGCAGTACTTCAATATGAGTAAGAAAAGGAGAGTACCCCTGAACATTTTTTTTGGGGGGGGGGAAGCACTGCCTACGGATATCAGGCAGGCGCCTCCTAAAAACATTTTTTATCCAGGCAAGGCTGCTCACATGTTTAGAAAGTTGAAACGAGTCTTAAGACTCAGCAATACAGCTGCAAATAAAACGTTTGAAGTGTGTTGTAAAGCGCATTGTGTAAATATGACACTAGATGGCAATGGTGAGCTATGGCAAATTCAATATATTTTTTCCAAAACTTTTTTTTTTTAAAGCAATTTTGCAACATTTTTATGTGTCTAGATTCCACCCAAATCTGTTTCTAGTCTATTTTAACTTTTCAGTCATCTTAAACCATCGTTACATTTTCTTAGTGATAATTTCAGTGCTTTATCTTTTTTGTAAACTGCTTTGTATAAATTTTACTAAATGAGTAAATGTTTTAAAAGGGACATCAAAGGTCGTCTAGTCCACCCCCTGCCCATGCAGGAATCTCACTACTGTGGCATTGGGTTAGGGTGAGATCTGATCCTCCTGATCTCTCCTAGGTGGCGAAGGACTCATCCATGTTCTTCCTGCTTCCCATCCACCCTGACTTCTTTTTTTTAAAAAAAATAATATTTATTACTTTTCCAAAAAATTTAAACACTAAAAAAACAATACAATATAATACATTAAACTAACAAAACAAACCAAAAACAATAAAATAAATCAAACAATTTCGTTATCCCATCTTTCATTCACTTATTTCCACGACCTCCTCACACCTCCCTTTTTGTATTCCACTTCTGTTAATTATCCACCCTGACTTCTTACCTCTGGGCAAGGTAAAAAGGAACTGCCTCTTCTCAAACGCATAGACTTCATTCAGGTTGCTTTGCTCGACAATGTCGGTCATGGCCGTGTTGGTGTAAAGGGGGTCCCCCTCGTTCACCCGCAGTTGCACCCCAGCGCCAGATCCCTCCAGCAGTGGATTCTCCACCGTGAGCCTCAGAGCATACCTCCCGGCCTCATTGAACTGCACGCTCACCAGCTCAAAGTCCAAGTCTAGGACCTTCTCCTCCGCCTTCAGCCGCGACTTCTGCAAAGTCACAGGGACGCGGGGCTCCACTGCCTTGCCAGCCATGGCTCGCCAAAGCCGCAGGACGAAAAATGTCAGCGTGGCCGTGAGGAATCCAGAGACTGCTAGCGGTCGCTTGGATGTGGCCTACTAGTAACACTGCCTCTGTGCTCCCCCATGGATCAGTCCTTCCTTTGACCATGTAGACGGCACCATCATTGAGGAGCTGCTGTTGTCTCATGTGGGGCAGATACCATCAGCAAGGGCTGCCACAGCTCGGCAAAAGGGGCTTTCTCCAAAGCAGATTTCCTCTATTGCCCCAAACGGGCCCTAAAATTTCCTCCAAAACACCCAGTTTCCTTCTCCATGTGCTTCATGCTCCACGCTGCATCCACAGCCCATTCGCTGGAAACTTGCGCATTCAGGGAGGGAAAAGAAAAACCACAATGCCACCCCTGGCTGGGGAGCAGTTTAAGAAAGCAGTTGCTCCTTCAGCAACCGTGAAAAACTCTCTGCAATTGGAGCCGCTGAAAAGAAGACACCTGTCCAACAAATTTCATAGGTGGGAGATGGCAGAGAGAAGTTTGTTTGAATGGAGCCTTGGCAACTCAGTGCAGAAGTGTCACTTGCCTTCAGGTAAACAATGGTTGTCGTGCGTAGCAAGCAAGGGTGGGGTCAACGAGATATCCAAGATTTAAAAAATCAGTGTACAAACAGAGCAGCTACTAAATCTAGTACGGCTCATAACTTTTTTTCATTCTTACATTATGAAGAAAGACAGAGAACCCACTCAGCTTAACACTATTGTAGCTGTTTTTAATTTGCATGGGTATTTTGCTGCTGTTGTTTTTTATTGAGGGAGGGGATATGTGTCTGGGAGGAGAGGAGCTGAGGAGAGGAGGGGGGTCCCAATTGCAGCGGTTCAGGGCAGGGGGAGTTAAGGTGTGGGAGGTGGGCAGGCCAGATAAGGGGCACAAAGCTCTGGGTCGTGTGCCAGCCCCTCCTCCAACGTGGAGAGTCCTGTTTGTCTATATCCTTCTGAAATTGTGGCACCCAATTAGTAGGGCTCAAGGATGTGGACAAGGTGCTCAGATCAGTCAGGGCGACCACTTGTATTCTGGACCCTTGTCCCTCTTGGCTGATAAAAAACTAGCAGGGAGGGGACAGCCAGCTGGGCCAGGGAGGTGGTTAAAGCCTGCCTGCGAGAGAGGGTGGTCCCTGCCTGCCTGAAGGAGGCAGTAGAAAGAAACCACCCCTGGATTTGGAAAAATCTAAGCAATTACCAGCCAATTGCCCATCTCCCCTTCTTGGCGAAGGTCCTTAAATGGGTGGTCATGGACCAAATCCAGGTGCCTTTGAAGTTACTATGTTAAAGGTGCTACTAAAGGTAAAGGTAAAGGACCCCTGACAGTTAAGTCCACTCGGGAAGGACTCTGGGGTTGCGCGCTCATCTTGCTTTACTGGCTGAGGGAGCCGACGTTTGTCCGCAGACAGTTTTTCTGGGTCATGTGGCCAGCATGACTAAGACGCTTCTGGCAAACCAGAGCAGCGCATGGAAATGCTGTTTACCTTCCCGCTGGAGCGGTACCTATTTATCTACTTGCACTTTGACATGCTTTCGAACTTGTAGGTTGGCAAGAGCTGGGACCGAGCAACGGGAGCTCACCCCGTCGTGGGGATTCGAACCGCCGACCTTCTGATCGGCAAGTCCTAGGCTCTGTGGTTTAACCCACAGCGCCACCCGCATCCCTCGTTTATATGCTACTAGTGGTCTAAATCACTGTCTTTTCTCAGCCTAACCCACCTCACAGGGTTGTTGTGCAGATTAAATGAGGAGGAGGAGGACCATGTACGCCTCCTTGCGCTCCTTGAAGGAAGAGATGGAATATAAACGCATTAAATAAATAAGTGAACGAATAACTCCCTCCACACTCACACTTATAGGCCAGAGGGATTAAGAATAGAACAGAGGGATGGACAAAATCCTTGTGGGCCGAAGAGCTTCTCTGCTGCCTTCCTAGACCAGCCGTGGAGGAGGAGAATCACAGGGCTGCTTGTTTTCAATTTTCTGATCCCTGGGCTGGCCCCCAGCCAAGCCCTTTTAGCCGTGAAGGGGATAAAGTTCTTTGCCTGGAGGAGATCCTTCACTCTCTGCCCGCCAGCTGAACTTTGCCTCCCAAGTGTGCTTCCCTGGGGCTGCCTCTCTCCCGGGATCCCCTGGTCAGATGAGGGGAGACTTGGGCTCAGATGGGCTTTGCGGAGTTCCCTTGCCTCTCAAGGCTGAACCCCAGGCAATGAGCTCTTAAGGAAAACAGGTTCCAAGGGGGCACCTCTGGGGAGGAAGGGGGAAATCAGCAGATTTTGCATGTCTTTGAACAATCTGGACTCCTCTCATCAAGTTGTTTTGTCTACCTAGTGGGGAGAAGTTAGCCTTCTCTCTCTGCTAGCCTGCCTTTGGAGATCTTGATTGCAAACAAGGTAATATTCTGTTTTACCTGCTCTGCCTTCAAACCATCTTATTTTCTTTACCAATGAACTTTGGGGTGGCCATGTGTTAAACGGTTAGCCTTTTAAAAAAGCCGCAAAAAAAAAGTTCTATGTAACCACCATACTGAACAGTAACGTTTAAAATCCCCAATTATTCAACCTGTGGGGATTGTTGTGCAAAGAAAGCTGGCCGTTTTCTTTCTTATGAAAGCAGCATTCTTGGTGATCCAAAGTACAAAAGTTTTGTTTTCAAATCCTCTTTAGAATTTGTCTTAATTAGAACCAGGAAGTATTATATGAATTCTTTCCTGTTAAGAAGTCTCTCTCTCTCCCTGTGTGTGTGTGTGTGTGTGTGTGAGAGAGAGAGAGAGAGAGAGAGAGAGAGAATAAAACAAGAATTGTAACTTTTTCTGTTCAGTATAATTTAATTTCTGGAGTTCCTGAGTTTTTCTCTTACGCATTTGCTGGGGTAAACGTGTATTTGCTGGAATTTAAATATTCAAACACATTAAAAATTGGATGCTTTGTTTTGAGCTCTGCCAATTTCCACTTAACCCCACGCTGTCATTATCAATATGACTACTCTCCAGAGTAAAGTTTCAAAGGCATTCAGGAATATTTATGGGAAAGTTGGGGGAGCTTTCGCTTGAACAAAGACATGTTCATTGGCAGGACTTCAAAACAGGTGAAGCATCAGATTTTAACATGGGCTTGTTTTCTTGTTTTAAGAAAGAATTGTTTATGATGCTTGTATTTCAGATTTGCTAACCAATACAAAGTGGATATAAATTATATTGTAATGTACTTTTTAAAATAAAACGAGCTCCTCAGTCACCGTGATTTCCTCAATTTCCCATTCATCCCAATGGAAGCTTCCACCCCCGCCCCAATGCAAAGGGGGCCTGATCTGAATCCGAACCTTGGCATGAGAGGTTGGGGGCTCTTTGTCGCCCCTGTTGTGGTCCTGATCCATATTGGGCCCCTGCACTTGCTATTTGCAGCAGCTTCCATTGGAGCAAATGGGGAAATGAGTACTTTATTTTTATCTGTTAGATTTCTTCCCTTTCACCTGAAGGTCCCAGGGCTGTTTACAACCACAGAAAATCAACTGAGATAATTTACAGTCAAACAATAGTGTGAGTCTCAAGTATCAAAGGCAGGGTACATCACTGTTAGGTGATGTAAGAGCAAAAGGCTAAATGCTCCACATTTGCAATTTACTTTCAGAAAACCTGTTTGTGCATTTAGCAATTGTGTGGATGGCGTCTCATCTAATTCCATTCTAAATCTGTATTTTTATTGCTCTTGTGTTACTCTGCATTTACTCTGGGCCCTCTGGAGCAAGAGCTTTATTATTATTATTATTGTGTGTTCAGGGTTGAAGCACGGACAGCCTTCGCCAGTGGCCGTGGTTTTGTTAAGCAACCTCCTTGTCTAGGAAGGGCTGAACTCCAAACTCTCTTCCTACTCTGGACAGGACTCCCACCAAGCAGAGATTAAACCTGAATCACTGTGGGAAGGCTGTGATTCTTGTTTGGTTGACCTCTCCTCTTGGTGGGGGGCCCCTGAAGATTAGTGAACCAGCCTTCATCACCCACCCTGTCCATTCCTTTGATGTACCCTAAGCATATTCCAGCCCTTCCCTCTGCACCCAGAGGTTAAACACTCTAAGCCTAGATGCAAAGCCTCCAACATTTCTCTGATGAAAATAAGGGCATCCTATTCCATAATAATGGGACGTGGGTGGCGCTGTGGGTTAAACCACAGAGCCTAGGACTTGCCGATCAGAAGGTTGGCGGTTCGAATCCCCACAATGGGGTGAGCTCCCATTGCTCAGTCCCTGCTCCTGCCAACCTAGCAGTTCGAAAGCACACCAAAGTGCAAGTAGATAAATAGGTACCGCTCCGGCGGGAAGGTAAATGGCGTTTCTGTGCGCTGCTCTGGTTCGCCAGAAGCGGCTTAGTCATGCTGGCCACATGACCCGGAAGCTGTATGCCGGCTCCCTCGACCAATAAAGCGAGATGAGCACCGCAACCCCAGAGTCAGCCATGACTGGACCTAATGGTCAGGGATCCCTTTACCTTTATTCCATAATAATACTAATAATAATACTAATATTACTACTAATAATATTTTTATTTATTTTTATTTACACCCCACCCATCTGGGGCTGGTTGCCCCAGCCACTCTGGGCAGCTTCCAACATACACACGCACACATACACAAGAAAAAGCATTTAGAAGACTTCTTTATACAGGGCTGCCTTCGGATAGGTGAAAATCCAATAGAGTGAAAATCCAGACAGAAAAGTTGTTGAGATTCTTTTGGGAAAGTTGTTGAGCTATTTTTAAGGGAAATCGCCAAAAACAACACTGCCGACATGGGTTGCCATACATGTGGATTTTCCTGGATGTCAGTGATTTACGCTCACACACTGTTTCCGACAGCCGATTGCCAGATATGTCCAGGAAATTCTGGACATATGGCAACACTGCTTCAGATGTCTTCTTACGGTTGTATAGTTACCTATCTGTATAGTTACCTATCCTTGGCTTGAGGGGCGCATAACCGAGGTCAGCTCACAGCCATTGATGAATTTTTGCTAAATAAACAGTGAGGGCTGCACTAATCTCTATGACAACAACAACGAGATGACGCAGAGATGGTTGATTTGAATGGGCAGGTTATGGCAAGACTTTTCCTCTGCAATGTGGATGGCAAGCCGCAGTCCAACAGGTAAACCTTTTCCCAATATGACAATGCAGTTCTCTCTTTTTTTCCAAAAAATTTTTATTCATTTTATAACACAACTAAACAACACAAACAGAAAAACAAACAATACAAACAAATTCTTGTCTTATTTTTTCTAAACATTGTTAGATGAGCTTCCCCAAGTCCCCCCATCTGATTTTCATTTTACCTCATCTTTAGGAGTTTACATATATCATAATTTTTAACCATTTTTTTTATCATGCTTACTTTTACCATAAAAATCTTCACATTTTATCACTTACAAATAATACTATTTTAAAATGCACTATCTTCTAAAATTTAAATATTAACATATTTTTTCAGATATTCTTTAAACTTCTTCCAATCTTCTCCCACCGTCTCTTCTCTCTGCTCTCGGATTCTCCCAGTCAGTTTGGCAAGTTCCATATAGTCTTATCATCTTCATCTGCCATAATATGACGATGCAGTTCTGAGGGGGTGAGGGGGAATTGGGCCTTTTTGCTTGGCCTGCTATCCCTGTTCTCAGAGTGGTTGTGGGAAACCAGCCAGCAGGACCCAAACGCAAGAACCACCCCCCACCAGTGGAATTCAGACACATTGCTGCCTCCCACTGCAAAGATAGAGCATGGCCATTGTGGATGGGAGTCATCCATAGCCCTCTTCTCCATTCATTTGTCCAATTGTCTTTTAAAGCCATCTAGCTTGGTGCCCATCACTGCCTAGTTCCATAGCTTAACTATGCACTGCTTGAAGAAGTGCTGTCTTTTGCTTCTACTACTTCTGGCCTGGGCCCCCTGAAATGTTGTTTGGCCTTTGGGCCTCTGCTCTGTCAGAATTTCAGGCTTCCTTCTTTCCCAGCTGTAATATACTCGGAGTCAAAAGTGGATTTCATGCTCTTTATTCAGCTCATAGTGGTGAGGAGGAATGGAAGTTCCCCCACAATATCTGTTTTATGTACATTATTTACACAATGGGCTGCATGTGACTGGCTAATTCCGGGATTCTCCTGTAGGCCAATCAGGTTGCGGATTCACTTCCACCTGGAGCTGGATTAGGTGGCTCCTGCGGACCAATCATACTGCTGCATTGTTCTAGGACCAATCAGACTGCTGCATTCTGAATCCTATTGTTCTAGGACCAATCAGATTGCTGCATTTTGGATCCTATTTTTCTAGGACCAATCAGACTGCTGCATTTTGGATCCTATTCAACTCAGTACATAGCACCAGCCCTACCTGGAGATGCCAGAGATTGAGCCTCCATCCATCTGTGCGTAAAGCATGAGCTCTGCCACCAACAGGGCCGGCCCACCCATGTGGCAAGGTGAGGCAACTGCCTCAGGCACCATAATTCACCAAGGCAGCAGATCCCCATGTCCATTCTTCTTCCCTCCCTTGTTCCTGATGTAGATCTTCCCTCACCCCTTCTTCTTCTGGGGAAGCTGGTGCCATGCTTCTCCTCCCCAGCCCCTGGAAGCAGGCAGATAAGGGACAAGGCCTTTTTGACACGAGGAAATAGCAGCAGATAATGGCCAAGGCTCCAATACCACAAGAACACAGAGATAGTGCCCTATCGCAATCCCACTGCAGGCCACAACATGTTCTTAACAGGAAGCTTCCCAGACTCAGACAGGCTGCAAAACTGCTGTTTGCAATATGATTCATTATTTAATCATTTTGATGGCGACACCCTCCTTTTACTGACGTTGGGGGCAGAGTGATGACCTCCAGATGTAATTGGACTGCAACTGCAACATCATCCCTGACCATTGGCTGTCTTTGCCGGGCTGATGGGCGTTGGAACTGAACATCTGGAGAGCATCACAGCAACTGCTCTTAATCTAGGTCAGGCGAGCAAGGTGTTAGGCTGGCAAGGCTTTGCAGCCCTGTTCAGTCATCCAATGGCTTTGGGAGCCACTGATTCAGCTAGGCTTGTTCCTCCTGCCCACCTTTCACCTGTTCAGCAGGAGAAGATGCCAGGAAGACTCCACTGGTGGTGATGCTTTCATCTTCAAGCAATTCTTGATCAGTCTTCATGAACCCAGCAGGGCATAATGCTTGTTCGTTTGGGTCTCATATAAGTCACTGTTCTTTGCCCCCCACCCCATTTGTTAGACTCTTGAAAACATCTCGGTCACAGGGAAGAAAGCTGTTTAAATCAAGAGTTTGGTTTACCTGTGGCCCTCCAACCATTTGTCAGGAATGAGTTGGAATCATCTGGAGGGCTGCAGGTTAGCTGCCTCTAGTTGAAGCATAGATACAGAGCATCCTTTTATGTTAGATGGAGCTGTGACAGTTTGGAATATATTGGATTTTTGCAGTCTAGTTAAATGGTGGATGGGGCCTGTGAGTCATCTCTTCACTCTCTACCTGAACTTGCCTCATATGAGATCTGAGAAGGGCCATAGCTTGGTGGCAGAGAACAGAAGGTCCCAGAAGGTCCCAGGCAGGAGAGACTGCTGTCTGAAACTGCCTTTGGTGGGAAATATGGAGCCAGATGGACAAATGGTTTGACTGCTTTCAGGCAACTTCCCACATAGCTGTATTTTTTAGGCACTCCAGTCAGCCCAGACAATGTAGGGCCATCTATTTCCCACTTCAGGTCTAGTTTTCAGGCTACTGTGTGGATTTGTGGTGCTACACAACACCACAGCAGTTCAAAATGCTCAAACTGATGTGCAGCCAGTTGCAGATGAAAGCTAGAGCATCCTGGATTCTCAAATAGCTGCCAGGTACTCAGAACAAACATTTGGTTACAGTCAGTACTTATGGAGAGACGTGGGTGGCGCTGTGGGTTAAACCACAGAGCCTAGGACTTGCCGAACAGAAGGTCGGCGGTTCAAATCCCCGCGACGGGGTGAGCTCCCGTTGTTCGGTCCCTGCTCCTGCCAACCTAGCAGTTTGAAAGCATGTCAAAGTACAAGTAGATAAATAGGTACTGCTCTGGCAGGAAGGTAAACGGCATTTCCGTGCGCTGCTCTGGTTCGCCAGAAGCGGCTTAGTCATACTGGCCACATGACCCGGAAGCTGTACGCCGGCTCCCTCGGCCAATAAAGCGAGATGAGCGCCGCAACCCCAGAGTCGGCCATGACTGGACCTAATGGTCAGGGGTCCCTTTACCTTTTTACTTATGGAAGTATTATCTGATTGAACGCATCTGTTAATTTCTGGCCCTCCCTTGGAATTGCTGGCACATAGCCGTGGTGAGTCTGAGACCCTGTCCTCACTGAGATGCAAAACCTGTGTCTGGCCCCCCCCCCACCTCAGATGGCAAACAGGTACCAGCAGGATGCTTCCATCTGAAGAAGAAAATAAAAATCCATGCATGAATTGGATTCTTCTTTCTGCCTCTCTTTAATTTGCCGGCAGCAAATTTTTTCCTCAGGCTGTTTCCCTGGAGAGAGGAAGAGAGAGTGGGGTGAGGCTAAAGGATAGAGAATTTGGGCACAGAAGAGTGTGGCTTGATCTGTATTGTCTGCAAAGCACCATGTAGCCAGACCAGGAGAACAAAGATGTCCTGTGTGTACACAAAGCCCCAGGTCCACCTTTCAGTTGCAACAGGTGCTGCTGGAACTGAATAGCCTTGCATCTTGCCTTAATAATCCCTCGCACGTTTGCAGCTGCCTTTAGCTCTTCCAAAGCGGGTCAGGTTGCCTTCTGAGACACTTTGCCAAATCCCCCCTCCGCATCCTGGAATGGGAACTGGTTGGTATGTAGGCAGGGGAGAACAAGACTCAGCTTTCCTTGGGGTGGAGTGCAGAAGTAGTCCCACCTACCTTGCAGGGTTATTGTAGAATAAAGTGGGGGGGGCGGGCATTAAGTGATTTTGAGCTCTTTGCAGGAAGGAGGAGTGTCTGAGAGTTTTGTTTCGTTTTTAAAGGGTGAGGTGTTGATTGCTAAGCTGCATCCTAGTCCTTCATACATTTCTGAAGATATACAGTCAACCTCGGGTTGAAGTCACTTCAGGTTAAGCCTTTTCGGGTTGCGCTCTGTGGCGACCTGGATGTAACGGAGCGCGTTACTTCCGGCTTTCGCCGCTTGCGCATGCGCAGATGCTCAAAATGATGTCAAAAGATGCTCAAAAGTGGTGAATCGCGACCCGCACGTACGCAGGTTGCGTTCGCTTCAGGATGCGAATGGGGCTCCAGAATGGATCCTGTTCTCAGGTTAAGTACTTAATTCATTCCGGAGGTCTGTACTTAACCTGAAACTGTTCTTAACCTGAAGCACCACTTTAACTAATGGGGCCTCCTGCTGCTGCCGCGCCGCCGAAGCCCGATTTCTGTTCTCATCCTGAAGCAAAGTTCTTAACCCAAGGTACTATTTCTGGGTTAGCAGAGTCTGTAACCTGAAGTGTATGTAACCTGAAGCGTATGTAACCCGAGGTACTGTATTGATTTTGTATACATACATACCCTAGAACTTACTGCAATGGCTGTTATCATTTGAACTTCAATAAAATACTCTTTGGGGGTTACTTAATTCATACGAAATACTCCTGGAAAACTTTTCTGCTAGAGAAGGGTAGCTACTTTAAACACACTGCCTTAAAAAAGAGGAGGAAGATTGGCATAGAATTTGCATGTGCTTTGATGTATAAATGCAGCTTCAGATTTAAGTAGATTTAAATACAAGCCCTCTTGCCCCAGGGAGGGAGACTGGGAGCTGCCTGTCTGCCCAGCCTGCCTTCCAGGGGCAAACTGCAGGTGGGCCTCTCCAAGGCCCTTGCTTTATTTTCTTATGGATCTGTATCACTGAACTGGGCGTGAACAAGACAGCCCTTCAGTTAGAGGAAGCCTTCAAACAGACTAGGATGGTCCTCTGTAAATCAGGACATGTGGCCACCGCAAAATGGATCAAAATATTGGAAGCAAGTGGACCAGTTCATGGAGGAGACAGTTATTGGCAGCTACTAGCCACAATGGTAAAGGGACGCGGGTGGCGCTGTGGGTTAAACCACAGAGCCCAGGACTTGCCGATCAGAAGGTTGGCGGTTCGAATCCCCACGACGTGGTGAGCTCCCATTGCTCGGTCCCTGCTCCTGCCAACCTAGCAGTTCGAAAGCACATCAAAGTGCAAGTAGATAAATAGGTACCGCTCCGGCGGGAAGGTAAACGGCGTTTCCGTGCGCTGCTCTGGTTCGCCAGAAGCGGCTTAGTCACGCTGGCCGCATGACCTGGAAGCTGTACGCTGGCTCCCTTGGCCAATAAAGCAAGATGAGCGCCGCAACCCCAGAATCGGCCACGACTGGACCTAATGGTTAGGGGTCCCTTTACCTTTACCTAGCCACAATGGCTATGCTGTCTCCATAGCTGAATGTCACAGTGCGTTTTCTGGAAACCACAGAAGGGGAGAGGGCCCTTGAGCTCGGATCCTGCTTGAGCACTGGACCAGATGAGCCATTGGCCTGATTCAGCAGGTTCCTCTTACATTCTCAGATCTAGGGAATGTGGCCAGTTTGTCAATGAAACGTCTTGTTATATGGCGCCCCCTCCTCACAAATCTTTGCGTGGTGCAAGAGTCCAGGGGTATCAGTCTTCCCAGGGACTGAGTTTACTTTAGGACAATAAGACACAGACGTCTGTGGCATCTTTATGATCTATGGTTCATTTACACATGTATACAGCCTGAGTCTGGATGGAGAGTGTGTGGAGCATTCACATCCCAAGAGGGTCCTGTTTCTTCCCATTGCTGCAGCCCCAGATTCCAAGAGACCCCCAATATCACGTGTGCTCTGCCCGCCTCCCGCCCACGCTTGCAAAATGGACCCTGTTTCTGTTTGCTTAGATTCACTTGCCAGTCTTACTCAGAACAAACCCATTGAAGTGAATGGACCCGACTAACTTAGGTTCATTAATTTCAGTGGGTCTACTCTGAGTCAGACTTACGTTTTAACAATGGCAGCCACCATCCAGGCTGACTTTCAAGCCCAGATTCCTGACTCAGCTGAGCTACCTTCCTGTTGCAACTCCTGCGCGAAGTTCAGTTGAATTGAATTAACTCCCGCTAAAAGAAATCAAAAAGCTGTTCTTGAGTCAGATCTCTTATCGTTTTTATTAAAAGCCACATGCAATATGCTCTCATTGCACTCTCTGCTCCTCCATCCCCTCCCACCCCTCAAACACTTCCCAATTCACTGTTGCGCTATTCATTTTGGCGAAAGGCAAAATGCTCTCTGGGGAGTGATGGATAGTGGGAAATGAAGAATACGCAGGGGCTTTATTGCAGCCATCAATCTCTTCCCTCGCAGTCCCGATCAAAGCCTTTGCTTTCCCAGGCAGAGGTTAGGCAGAGGAGCAAAGGGATCGAGTTTCGGGCAAACGCAGGGCGGAGTGTGGACTCCATGCTGGGAGAGCAAGCAAGAATTTGGCTCTCGCAAGGCGGTCACTGTGAGATGCCCCATTCATGCTTGGCACGGTCTGCGGGGAGACGAGGGGACCGTACAGATGGGAATGTGGTGGCTTGGGTCCCTCCGGTTCAAAGGGGGAAGGTGTAGACCAGGCATCCCCAACCTGTGGCCCTCCAGATGTTTTGGCCTACAACTCCCATGATCCCTGGCTAACAGGGCCGGTGGTCAGGGATGATGGGAATTGTAGTCCAAAACATCTGGAGGGCCAAAGGTTGGGGATTCCTGGTGTAGATTCTGGCTCTGAATGTGCCACCAACAGCATGTGTGACTCCCCCCTCAGAAATTCTGAAATCCTTCCTTGTACATCTCCTTTGATTTTGGTGATCCGAATTCATAGAATCATAGAATTGTAGAAGGGATCCCAAAGGTCATCCAGTCCAACCCCCTGCAGTTCAGGAATCCCAGCTAAAACATCCATGGCAGATGGCCACCCAATCTCTGCTTACAATCCTCCAAGGAAGGAGAGTCCATCACCTCCTGAGGGAGGCCATTCCATTGTCAAACAGCTCTCATTCTCAGAAAGTTCTTCCTGGTGTTCTGGACCCTCACAAGCTACACAGTTAAACTATGGAACTTGCTCCCCCTGTGTGATGGCCTGGGACTTGGGCTCAGACACGGAAACCGGTGGAGTCTCGGTCCGCACCGGATCCTCTGCCTCAGGCAGCATCTGAACCGAGTCTGGGGCCTGATCCTGAAGAGCCCCAGCCTGCACAGGTTCCCCTGCAACAAGCACCAGCTGGGCCGAGTCAGGGGCCTGAGCCTGCCCTGGCTCCAGATGCGGGGATTACCTCGTTGCCTTCAGCTGGGCCATCAGCTGGAGCCTCAGCTTCAGGATCTGTCCTTCCAGTGAGCCCTCAGGGCTGATCTCCTTCAGAACGGATAGGTTTGATCTTCTTGCAGTCCATGGGACTCTCAAGAGTCTCCTCCAGCACCAGAGTTCAAAAGCATCAATTCTTCGGCGATCAGCCTTCTTTATGGTCCAGCTCTCACTTCCATACATCACTACTGGGAAAACCATAGCTTTAACTATACAGAACTTTGCCTCCTTAGCTACTGTTTTTTAGAAATGGAGAGTGTGGTTTGGCTGAAATTGGGAGGATTTGGGACATGGAACCCAAGAAGTGCCTGGTGAATCAGGCCCATGGCCCACTTAGTCCAGCATCCTGTTTCCATGGTGGCCAACCAGATTCCCTCCCCCCAGGGGAAGCCCACCAGCAGGATCTGAGCCCAAGAGGCCTCTCCCATGAGAATGTAAGAAGAGCCAATTTGCCCAATTCTCTTTTAAAGCCATCTTTAATCATTTTTGCTTCAGCCCCCTCCTCCGCCCTGCTCCCAAGATTCCCATAAACCTCTGTTAAGTAAAGAAAACAATTGGTTTGGTTCATTCTGGGTCTGGCGTTCTCCGCAGTGGAGGGTTGGTGGGCAGGAACCCAATTCAACCTGCCCTTGGTTCCTTTTAATCTCCTTGTCTTATGTCATGACCCAGACTCTCCCAAGCGAGATTTTTATGGCCACGCTCTCTATTCTCCTTTGTTTTCATCAGCTGTTGAAACAGGAGTCACTTGGAGCCAAGTTCTACAGAGTAAAGTGGGAGGGAGAAAGAGGCAGAAGGAGCGAAAGGAAAGAAAGAGTTCAGTCGGATGTGTTGAGCCTCACAGCTGCCAGAGCTGGGCGCAATGGGGGTTTAAACTCAGCAAGTTGACCTGAATCAGCTGCGGGACAGATGCTTAATAAGAAGGGTAAAATCTATAGCTAAGGAAAAAAATCTCACGCATCCCCCCCTCCGTTATTCTTTGCATTTATCCTGCCGGACAGAAGCAAACAGGATGTCTTCCCAAGGGCTGGTGACCGACGACCTTTCCATGGATGGCAACTTTGCTTATGACGATAACTGGTATATATATGACCAAAAAGGGGACCAGGATGAGTGAGTATTGCTAATTCATTTGTTTCCCAAGTATGATGTGTGTGTCACTGAGTGGGGAATCTGATTCAGTGGGGGGAATCCCAGGTCTGAAATGAATGTGCTCCTAAAAACTTTCCCTTCTTTTCAAATTTCGGTTTCCTATCTGCTCAGGATACGCCAGCATTTACTGAATGTTTGGTACCTTTATGTCCAGCATTGTACTTTATTTGACCACTACATCTCATAGCTGGTTTGGGAGGGTGTTTTGAGAGTGTTTTCTTGGGGGGCCTGCAATGTCATATGACTACATTTGATTGCCTGACATGTAAAGGTATGTAGTATCTGAGAGATAACATGCAATGGAAGTTAGTACCTTACCTTCATATTCAATGCCTGCCGAATCCATGAGTAGGTGCCAACAGATCTAGAGTACTCAAATTTTCACTGGGGGGAGGGGAAGAATACATTTTGGTGATGTAGCAGCATATTTGCTTTAGATAGGTCTAAGCCATAATCTGTCTTTCACCACCACCTTGCCACACTCCTTGGCAAAGCTGTTCTTAAAAGTCCCTATGCCAGCATTTTCTGTAATCTATTAATCCTCCTGTAGCCCCATTTATATTACTACTTTATCATGGTCTCCTCCTGGGGCAGAAATCATATAATCGTATGTCATGTCATATCATATCATATCATTACATCCATATTCTGTATTGCTATTAATGTGTTTTTGGAAGTAGCCTTTTCAGTTCAGCCCCAAAGCAAACTGTATTTTGAGAACTTTCACTCCTCAAATCGAAGGCATTTTGTTGGGGGGGTGCATTTCATACAACTGCCCCCCCTCTCCGGAATACAGCTTTTTCATTTATTTGTGGCAGCTGTGGCCAGTGATCCATGCAATCTGGTGCTGACGGTGGTTCTGCTCCTTAATGGAGCTCAGGACTGTTCCCTCGCAATTCAGAGTGAGGGCAGGAATCATTCTTTTCTGATCCTGCCCTCACTCGGATATGGTTTTGTGAATGTTTCCTGCATGGCTGCAGTGTCACTTCATTAGCCTAAATACCCACCAAACAGCCTATGAACAAAGTGGTAACATTGGCAAAAAAACACCAAAAAACCCTACAATTAGACATCAGTTTTGATGGATAGATGTGAACTGTAGATTCTATCGGCTTGTATCAGTCTAAAGATTAGCAAATATGGCTTTATATTTGTTTCAATATTCCCATTTCATTTTCATTTATTTTAAAAGCTTATTTTTATTTTTCTTCTGCTGTGGGAGCAACAAAGTCCTCTTTCTTTCTTTCTTTCTTTCTTTCTTTCTTTCTTTCTTTTACTGGATTTTTGAAATGATAGGCAAAACAAAAGTTTAATATCACTCTCACAATTAATTTGGTACCAATAAGAATGCTAAGCCTAAGCGATGTTATATAGAGTTTTTCAACAACAAAAAGGGAAATAAAATAAAGACCCACAACTACACCACAGGGTCCTTTGCGGGTGCATTTTGTTGACCCCAAAATAGCCCTTTAATGTGGCCGCCAAAGGAAATGGTCTCCAGTGGGACTCCCATTTGTTCCTCTGAACATTTGTTTTGAACCAAATGGGCTCCATTCAGTTTCGTTTTCCACTCGCTCCAAAATGAATGAAAACATAACAAGAGCCCGACTGGATCAGGCCAGTAGCCCACCTAGTGCAAGGGGCTCAAGGTGACTTACACAGTTCTCCTCCTCCCCGTTTTATCCTTACAACGACCCTGTGCAGTACGCTAGGCTAAGAGTGGCCAATGTTTGGATTTGAACCCTGCTCCCTCCCAGTCCCAAGTCCAAGACTCTTAACTGCTGCACCTAATTGGCTCTTCAGTTGGGCTGTTTGTTTTTCTTTGGGGTTTACTCATTGGTTTGAAACCTTCTGTCAAAGTCAACTGTGATTTTTGATATGAAGATTTAATAAATTCAAATAATGCTGTTTTTTGTTTAAAAACACAACATGGCATCCTGTTAAGGCTCTCATTTTCTTTAATTATTTTGTTTGTCTCATAATGTTAGTTGATTGCCTTTCAAAGCTGTTCATGGGGCAATTTACATTTTTTGTTTAGTTTTGTAAAATCCATCCTAAATGGGGGGGAAACACACAACCTCTAAAACTAATAAACACGTTTGGAAAAGAATAATCATAAAACAACAGGAACATAGCAACAGGATGAAATAGTGCTGACTTTTCTACAAAATGAAAAACAAGGTGAAATAACACTTCAGGGAGAAAGCATTTATGGGAATCATATAATTCTAGAGCTGGAAGAGACCCTGAGGGATATCTAGTCCAACCTTATGCAATGCAGGAATCACAGCTAACCCCAATTTACTCCAAAGCCACAGCGGAAAAAGCCCTGCTTCCTGAAGGATGACAATAATAATAGTTATTATTATTTATTGTTCTTCCCATGAACTGGATCTGAATGGGTCTGAAGTTGGCATCTTGCTGGATCCATGAGCAACTCCCCAGGGTGGCAAACAACTGAATTGCACATGGCAGCTTCTCCAGGGAGCCCTGGGCTTCCTCCTGCCACCCAGGCTGGCCTCTTCGTCCTCCGGGACAGGAAGAAGTGTAGGAGAGCTTCCTGTTCCAGTTGAGCCTTGCTTGAGCAACCAGGTCTCCCTGAGTTCCTGTGTGTTTCTATATCCTTAATTCCTGACTTCCCGCCTTGATCCTGACTCCTGGTTTATCCTTTTCAGTTCTGGCCGCTGGCTGGACTGGATTCACAGAACAGCTGCGCAGCCACTAGTAAAGGTAAAGCGACCCCTGACCATTAGGTCCAGTCGCAGATGACTCTGGGTTGTGGCGCTCATCTCACTTTATTGGCCGAGGGAGCTGGTGTACAGCTTCCGGGTCATGTGGCCAGCATGACTAAGCCACTTCTGGCAAACCAGAGCAGTGCACAGAAACACCGTTTACCTTCCCACTGGAGCTGTACCTATTTATCTACTTGCACTTTGACGTGCTTTCGAACTGCTAGGTTGGCAGGAGCAGGGACTGAGCAACGGGAGCTCACCCAATTGTGGGGATTTGAACCGCCAACCTTCTGATCGGCAAGTCCTAGGCTCTGTGGTCTAACCCACAGCGCCACCCGCGTCCCGTGCAGCCACTACAGGTGGGCTAAACAGGTTGCAGAATCTTTTACTGGCTTGGATTCAAGAACTAGACCAGAATCACAGCTGAGCCTGAACCAAAAACCGTAGCTTGAAACAGGCGTCAGGAATCACCAGATGTGCAAATGTAGAATGGACTGGCTTAACAGCAGGCCATGTGAAATGGATTTAGGGGTCTTGGTAGACCACAAGTTTAAAGTGAGTCAACTGTGATGCAGCAGCAAAAAGGCCAGTGCCCTTCTAGGCTGCATCTACAGAAGTCTAGTGTCCAGATCAAGAGAAAGCGTAGTGCCACTCTATTCTGCCATGGTCAGACCACACCTGGGGTCTTGTGTCCACTTCTGGGCACCCCAGTGTAAGAAGGCTATTGCCAAGCAGGAACATGCGCAGAGGCAGGTGACTGAGATGATAGAGTCTGGAATCCAAGACCTTTTGAGGAACCGTTAAGGGAACTGGGGGGACCCGGGTGGCGCTGTGGGTTAAACCACAGAGCCTAGAACTTGCCGATTAGAAGATTGGTGGTTCGAATCCCCACAACGGGGTGAGCTCCCGTTGCTCGGTCCCTGCTCCTGCCAACCTAGCAGTTCGAAAGCACGAAGTGCAAGTAGATAAATAGGTACCGCTCTGGTGGAAAGGTAAATGGCGTTTCCGTGTGCTGCTCTGGCTCGCCAGAAGCGGCTTAGTCATGCTGGCCACATGACTGACAAGCTGTACACCGGCTCCCTCGGCCAATAAAGCGAGATGAGCGCCACAACCCCAGAGTTGGTCATGACTGTACCTAATGGTCAGGGGTCCGTTTACCCTTCAAGGGAATTGGGGCTGTTTCGCCTGGAGCAAAGAAGACTGAGATGTGGCCTGAGAGCCATCTTCAAAAGCTAAAGAACTGTCACATGTAAGATGGAGTAAGCTTTCCTTCTGCTGCTCCAGAGGGGAAGATCCAAAGCAACAGATTCAAATGACAAGGATGGAGATTCTGGCAAAATATCAGGAAGAACTTGCTGGCAGCAAGAGCTGTTCAACAGGGAAGGAGAATCCCTTGGGAGGTTGTAGACTCCCTTTCCTTGGAGGTTTTTAAGCAGAGGTGGGATGGACCCCTGTCAAGGGGGCTTTAGCCATGATTCCTGCATTGCAGGGGGTTGGCCTTTGGGATCCCTTCCAATGCTACAATTCTATGTTCCTAAAATGAGGTGCCGAGTGATTCAGCTGGGCCTTGCTAAACAACATGACCAGAAGTGGGCACAAAGCTCCTCTTTGCATTCAGATCCCAGGAAGGCTTGGACTTCAGCTTCATTCATCAGCTGTAACTTGATCCCGGTTTGGGTTTGGCTGAAACCAGAAGCACTGAAAAGTCACAACAAAGAGCCAAATTGTCCCTTTCTCTAGGTCAGCATCCTGCTGCTCCTCTCTCCAGAAAGTTTGTTCTTGTTAGACTTTACCAGGGAGGGTAAAAGGTAAAGGTAAAGGGACCCCTGATCATTAGGTCCAGTCACGGACGACTCTGGGGTTGCAGCGCTCATCTTGCTTTATTGGCCGAGGGAGCCAGCGTACAGCTTCCGGGTCATGTGGCCAGCATGACTAAGCCGCTTCTGGTGAACCAGAGCAGCGCACGGAAACGCCGCCGTTTACCTTCCTGTCGGAGCAGTACCTATTTATCTACTTGCACTTTGATGTTCTTTCGAACTGCTAGGTTGGCAGGAGCAGGGACTGAGCAACGGGAGCTCACCCCATCGTGGGGATTCGAACCACCGACCTTCTGATCGGCAAGCCCTAGACTTGCAAAAAGAAAAGAGAGACCCAGTCTTGCCCTGCCCTTTAAATCCGACCAGTAGCACTGCCACAGAGTGCACCGTAGTATCTGCAAGATGCTGCAGAAACAGTGGCGTGAAATATTTCTTTGTTTGCTGGCTTACTATTACATTTATATCCCATGTTTTTCTCCAACAAGCTCAATGTTGCATACATGGTTGTCCCCCGCCTACGTGTCCTCATTTAATCCCCTCAACAATCCTGCAAGGTAGGTTAGACTGAGAGGCTGTTTGCCCCCAAATGAGTTTCCTAGCTGAGTAGGGGATTGAACCCTGGATTCCCAGGTCCTAGTCCTCAATTATCCCCACCTTATCCCTATAAGGGATGTGGGTGGCGCTGTGGGTTAAACCACAGAGCCTAGGACTTGCCGATCAGAAGGTCGGCGGTTTGAATCCCTGCGATGGAGTGAGCTCCTGTTGCTTAGTCCCTGCTCCTGCCAACCTAGCAGTTCGAAAGCACGTCAAAGTGCAAGTAGATAAATAAGTACCACTCCGGCGGGAAGGTAAACGGCGTTTCCGTGCGCTGCTCTGGTTTGCCAGAAGCGGCGTAGTCATGCTGGCCACATGACCCGGAAGCCGTCTGCAGACAAACGCCGGCTCCCTCGGCCTATAGAACTAGATGAGCGCCGCAACCCCAGAGTAGGTCATGACTGGACCTAATGGTCAGGGGTCCCTTTACCTTTACCTATCCCTGTGAAGTAGGTCAGCCTGAGAGCGAGTGACTGGCCCAAGTGGCCAAGTGGGGATCCCAAGTCCTAGTCTGACACTCTTGCCATTGCACCACAGAGGGCAGGGCAGTGTAGTTCAGCCGGGTTCCCAGTGCTCTGTGTGGCTGGCAGTTACCCAGGGGTGAGGCCAGGGAACAGGGTGCAGCAGCAGGACTTTTGGGTCGGCTCACCCCCCACCCTCTTGGAAAGAGGCAGCTACGCAGAGCTTTGGGAAACCCAGAAAGAAACACTATCCGACCTGTGCCACCCCAACAGCCACGACTGTGGTATCTTGGAAAAGCGACCATTCTAAAGAGGTGAGTTTCTTGCTCTGGGCCACAATCCTGGCAAAAAGCAACCTTGCCCGCAGCAACAACAAGTGGCTAGCAAAGTCCCTGGTTTCAGATAGGTTGGTTTCTTCCAAGCCAATTTCCCAGTTCTTGGCTTCTTCCCAGGGTGGGGACTGGGGAGCCTCGGGTCCAGGTGGGCCAAATAAGAACATAGGAAGAGCCTGTGGGGTCAGACCAGTGGCCCATCTAGTCCAGCTTCCTGTTCCTACAGCGGCCAGCCAGATCATAGAATCGTAGAATGATAGAGTTGGAAGGCACCCCAAGGGTCATCTAGACCCACCCCCTGCAATGCAGGAAACCAGCAAGGAGGACCCGAGCACAAGAGTCTCCTATCCTGTGGCTTCCAGCAACTGGCATTGAGACGCAGTCCTGCTCCGACTGTGGAGGCTGAGCAGAGCCACCATGTGACCCTCAAGTCCTCTCTAGAGCAGGGGTCAGCAACCTTTTTCAGCTGTGGGCCGGTCTACTGTCCCTCAGACCATGTGGGGGGCCAGACTATATTTTGAAAAACAGCCTTGGTCCAGTATACCTGAAGGAGCGTCTCCACCCCCATCGTCCAGCTCTGAGGGCCTTCTGGCGGTTCCCTCACTGCGAGAAGCCAAGTTACAGGGAACCAGGCAGAGGGCCTTCTCGGTAGTGGCGCCCGCCCTGTGGAACGCCCTCCCACCAGGTGTCAAAGAGAACAACAACTACCAGACTTTTAGAAGGCATCTAAAGGCAGCCCTGTTTAGGGAAGCTTTTAATGTTTAAGAGACTATTGTATTTTAATATTCTGTTGGAAGCTGCCCAGAGTGGCTGGGGAAACCCAGCCAGATGGGTGGGGTATAAATAAATAAATAAATAAATAAATAAATAAATAAATAATAAAAATGATCAAATTCCTATGCCCCACAAATAACCCAGAGATGCATTTTAAATAAAAGCACACATTCTACTCATGTAAAAACACGCTGATTCCTGGACCGTCCGCGGGCCAGGTTGAGAAGGCGATTGGGCCGCATCCAGCCCCTGGGCCATAGGTTGCCTATGCCTGCTCTAGTGGGTCCCTAGAGCAGGGACCCACGCTAAGGGCCACTTACGTTCCTCTGACCACGTTTGCGTGTGTCCACCACCCCCGCTCTGTAGCTTCTGGAAGGTTGTCCATGACAAGTTGTGGCCCCTGAGATGAGAGGGCTTCCTCATCTCCGTCTTCTTCTAAAGCCTCCCAATTCCTAGAGTGCAGGGCCAGCCCATGACATTTTGGCACCTGAGGGGACCCATAAAAGGCAATCCTCCTCCCCACCAGAAAAGAAGGGGTGAGTGAAGATCTACACCAGGAACAAGGGGGAGATTGTAGTTCGACATGGGGATCTGCTGCCTCTGCGGATTCTGCCGCCTGAGGCGGTGACCTCACCTTGCCTCATGGGTGGGCCGGCCCTGCCAGAGCGCCCTATGAAGAGAGGCTGACTGTTAAACCCCTCTGGGAACTGTAGTTTTGTGAGAGGAACAGGGCTCTCAGCACCCACAACAAACTGCAGCTCCCAGCATTCTTTGGGGGCAGCCATGATGGTCTAAAGTATTATCCTAGCACTTTCAACGCAGGGCATGAGCCTGACCTAAGCGGGCTCCACCTGCCATTGCCTCTGATGCCCCCCAAGGGGCTCCAGCTCATAGCTGTCAACTTTTCCCTTTTCTTGCGAGGAATCCTATTCGGAATAAGGGAATTTCCCTTAAAAAGGGGAAAGTTGACAGCTATGCTCCAGCTGCCCTGATGCTCCTTTGCTCATTGTTTGCAAATAGCTGCTTGGCTCCATCTCCTGATTCCATCCAGCCTTTTTCTATGACAACATGGTAGGTGCCAGGGTCAACTTCTCCAGCCTTTTCAGCCCCCCGCTGCTTAGCAAAGTCCTCTCCCTCCCTCCCTCCCTGCCTCCAGTAATGTCCCTTGGGACCCACCTGAACTAATTCCTTATCCGCTATGGTGCATTTCCCAGCTCTTCAAATAAATTTCCACGGTTCTCCATCTCCCTTAGTTGAACCATGTTATGCATATTTAGCGCCTTTAATCTCTTGCTCACAAAACCAGTTCTTTTAACACCCCTTCGGTTAATTTGGTTGCTGCTTTTTAAAAAAATCCTTTTAATTTTAATATATATTGCCTCCCATTAACATAAGATATGTAAGCTCTGCCCTCAAACCCCTATTTTCCAAGGAACCAGAAAATGGCTTTGCATGCATGACATAGATTTATCTCCCTGCTTGGTTAATATAGTGGCACACATATACCAGAGGTTTCCTAGAATAAGTATTTTACCCCCTGAGGGTGGAATCCTTGTGCAAAATCCTCCTTTTAGCTGGGCACAACTTATTGGATTCCATTTTACACATTTGCGTGTTCAGACCCAGAAACCTCCCCCCTAAATAAATTCACACTTGACTCAAATTTTTTGTTTGTTTTTTGGCAGAATTTAGGCCACAACTTTATTGATTACAGCAAGTGACCTGTTGTACAGGCTCTGGTTTGACTAGCTCCCTGCCATGCAGGTAGCGCTGACCCAGGGTTCCAGCATAGGTCAGCCAAGGGTGAATACCTGGATAAGTGGAAAGCTGGGCACAGGCTATCTCCGCTACCCAAATGTTCACCTGGTCTCAGGCACGGGCACAACCCCCTCTTAGGGGTTGACCAAACCATCAAGTCCCTGGATTCCTTTAACGGAATACCCTTCACATCGGGATGGTGAGAGCGTTCTCCCATCCCTATCACCTGAACCAGAGCCTATCCACAACCTTACAAGTTGTGACAATTTGCTACGCAGCAGGTGAAACCCAAATGGCAACAGCCAATCAGCCAAGTGGGGAAAATTCCTGCCGTGCTCCTGTCCCAATGACAGACGACGGCATAGCAAGGTCAAGCGCAAAATGCCCTAAAAGTAGGGAGAGGTGGGCGGGTGTTCCGAATGCATGCGCCGAAAGAGGAAGCTCTGGGTCACGTGCATGGGCATAAATAGGTCTCTCGAACCGTTTGGACTGCGTCCCATTGGCCAGATTGCACACAGCTTTGAGGGACCTACCAGTCGGGTGTTGTGGCTGACCAATTGTACCCACCCACAACCCAGGGTGTTGCTTGTCCAGGTCTCACCACAATACATGCCCTCTTTAAGGGAGTTCCATAGTCTAACTGTGCACCGCTTGAAGTGAATGTTATTTTAAACATTTGCATTTCTCTTTCATATAGCATGACTCCTGAAGTTATCCCAGACTGCCATCCCACCATCCCTTATGACCTCTACCACGCCTGCATGGCTCCAGTATCAGTAAGTATTTCCCAAGTCGTCTCCTGCTAATGAAGCTCACAGACAATTTTTCAAGAAGATGAAGTCATACTGGAGACATCACTGTGAGCAGAGAAGAGGAGAGGTGTTGCTAACTTGCCTGCAAAGTTTAATTTCATTTGCAAGTGACATTTGTGAAACTAAACTGAAATGTTATGTCAACTATTTTCTATAGCATTGGTGTATCATGTTTCTCGTTTATGTAAAAGGTCTTCCATTGTTATTATTTCATAGAGCTGAAGCATAATGGTGGATACTTATTGATCTATTCAAAAATATTTCTAAACTGCTTAATATTTTTTTAAAAAAAATGTTAGGGGTATATGGCAGTACGAAACATAACAAGACACTAAAATCGTCTAATGAAGCAGAGCTTTAAAAGTACCATACCCAACTACCAAAGCCAATCCAAACGGTTTGTCTCTGCAAAGTGAGTAACTGAAGTTGCTTCATGTACAATGGAGAGAAGGGCTTTCCAGAGTGTAGGAGAAACAGCGGAAAATGTCTGTTTTCAAGTCAGCACTCTAATGTATTTCATAGTCAAGTAAAAGTAAAAAGAAATCAACATCTCGGCAGTCTCATGAGGGCCCTGCTATAAACCCATAAGCCCTTGGCTCCTGGAGCTGCCACATTTTATATTTATCAAGATGGGATGGAGCTGTGCAAACAACAGTCTTTGTTGCTCTCATTGAATCCACACCACTTCCTCTCTTGCAGCTGGCTGTCTTGCTGATTCTCTCTCTGCTGGTGAAGCGGAAGAAACTCTATAAAAATTGTTGGGATGGAGCCCCTGGACTGCTAAGGTACCCTCCACAGCCCAGATGCAGCCTAGGGAGGGAGGACGTGGTCTTTTGCTGTCTCTGAGCTAAGATTGACAATTGTCATTCGTCAGGTTGTGAGTTCTTAAGGCGGCAAATAGGGCGGCGTGTGATTGTGGTAGGACCATCAAAGGCAGAGGCAGGTCCAAGGGGTGCTTCCCATTGCCTGGCATGTGTGTAGGCTGCATGAGCTTTGCCCTACATAGTTCTTTGCTCCCCATGTAGTAGAAGGTGAACAATTTATGCAAAAATAAGCAGATTTATGTGGGTCGGGCTAATGAGCACAATGTAATGTATGCAGGTTGTGGAAGGCTTGCTTATACATTTCTATGCCACCTTTCCTCCAAGGAGCTCAATACGGCACATATGAAATGCCCCCCCCCCCGTTTAATCTGATAACAACAACCCTGTGAGGTAGATCAGGCTCAGGGGCAGTAACTGGCCCCCAGAGTCACACCCAGGGAGCTTCATGGCTGGGTGGGGGATTTGAACCCAGGTCTCTCCCAGGTCCTAGTCCTCACTTAATCTCCACAACAACTCTGTGTTGTAGGTCCTGCTGAGACCTGCCCCCCCCCCCCGGTCACACCCAGTGAGTTTCATGCTGGAGTAGAGATTTGAACCCTGGTCTCTCCCAGGTCTTAGTCCAACGTTCTAGCCACTACGCAACTAGTAAAATGGATGTGTATACACCTGGGTAGGGAGGCTACTTCGAGCAGAGGGCCACATTCTCTTGTGGACAGCCTTCCAGGGGCCACATACTAGAGAAGCAAGAGGTATTGCCAGAGGAATAGCAGGCTGTGAGGGATGTGGCAACAGGGACCATGGCATGGTCACACTTCCCAGGATTGCAGTGTTGCACCTCTCTGTGCCCTTTGGTGGAAGGGGCAGCCCACAGCTCAGCGGTAGAGCATCTGTCTTGCATGCAAAAGGTCCCTGTCTCAACTGCGGTCATCTCCGGAAAAGGGTCAGGTCACAGGTGACACGTAAGGGCCCTTCATTGCTCTAGACGCTGGACAGTCACTGCCAGTTAGAGCAGGAAATGCTGCAAAAGCTGGGTTAATCGCTTAAGCGGCTATTGGGCAGTTTCCTAAGCCACCTGAGTTCGGCCATTCACACCTGCATATAGCAAGTGAGAAAAGCTCAGGTGTATTTGGCTTCTCCTACCTAGGTGCAATTTTTGGAAACAACCAAAGTCATTTGTGCAGATTCTTGTCCGTGCACAGCATGAATGCACTGAGCACACCCCATCGTTGCAAAAGCTGAACACTGAAATGGTATGGATGCACTTCAGTCTCCACTCTGGGCCTGCGGTGTGTCTGCAAGTCTGCAGAGTTTGTGCGGAGGGCAGCCCTTCTGCAGAGATGTTCCGCTGGTGCAAATGGGTCCTTTTTTAAATCATTCTCGTCTTTGTTCCTCCTTAAGCCCTGTGCATTTCCTGGAAGAGGAAGGTCACAAGGGGCTGTCTGTGGCAGTTTTTGGCATCCTCTTCTCCTCCTTATGCATCCTGGTTCTGGATAGCGACCCTCTGCCCTTCATCTCCGGCTCCTCGACCCAGAATCGAGGTAACACTGAGAGTTGTTGCTATTATTATTATTATTATTATTATTATTATTATTATTATTATTTACCGGTATATCCTCCTTTTCACTAGAGCAGGACTCAAGGCAGCTTACATAAATGAAAACAGCCCAGATAAAATGTTGTTGTTGTTTAGTCGTTTAGTCGTGTCCGACTCTTCGTGACCCCCTGTACCAGGGCACGCCAGGCACTTCTGTCTTCCACTGCCTCCCGCAGTTTGGTCAAACTCATGTTTGTAGCTTTGAGAACACTGTCCAACCATCCCGTCCTCTGTCGTCCCCTTCTCCTTGTGCCCTCCATCTTTCCCAACATCAGGGTTTTTTCCAGAGAGTCTTCTCCCATGAGGTGGCCAAAGTATTGGAGTCTCAGCGTCAGGATCTGTCCTTCCAGTGAGCACTCAGGGCTGATTTCCCTAAGAATGGATAGGTTTGATCTTCTTGCAGTCCTTGGGACTCTCAAGAGCCTCCAGCACCATAATTCAAAAGCATCAATTCTTTGGCGATCAGCCTACTTTATGGTCCAGCTCTCACTTCCATACATCACTACTGGCCAGATAAAATACAGAAAGCTAAAAACTTACACAAGAGAATCGTTTAAAAGTAGTTAAACTCTGATAGAATTAAAGTGATATAAAGCCAAATCTATTAAAAAACAGATAATAAAATTGGCACAGCGCTATAAAAAGCCCATTCCTTTATATAACAATTGATTCCCCAAAGCCTGTCAGAACAGAGCCATCTTCACCTGCCAATGGAAGGACCACAAGGAGGGAGCCAGTCCAGCTTCTCCAGCAAGGGACTTCCAAAGTTGTCTGGGAGCAGCCACCAAGAAGGCCCTGCCCCATGTCATCACCAAGCATGCCTGTGAGGGTGGCAGGACCAAGAGAAGCCCTCCTGCCCCGCCCCACCCCGCCCCGCCCCACCTCAGAGCCCAGGCAGGTTTATAACGGAGAATACAGTCTTTAAGCTGTATAGGACTTTATAGCCCTGTATGGTCATAACCAGGTTGCTTCCATGGGCACAGTAGAGAGCCCTTCTTCAGTGTTCTACACCAGGCATAGGCATGTCCAAAGACTGATTCGGGGGCCTGCCGGTCGGTGTAATCCGGCCCCTGTGGCAGTTTATTTCCTGGGTTAAAATCCTTAAAAAAGGTCAACAATTTCAACCCTAAAAAAAGGTTAACAACTTTGGTTGGCCCTCATGCCCTCATGGCCCTTCACTTCATCACATCTGGCCCTCTTTGGAAAAAGTTTGGACACCACTGGTCCACACCATCCTTTTTAATTTTGTGTATTGTTCACCACTCTGGAGACATTCAGGGCTCCCAAAGCTGCATTGTGTCTGCAAGATTTATACATTGAGAATGTGGAGAATGTGAAGACCCCTGCTGTATCAGAGCCAAGATCCAGCTTCCGGCTTCTTGCAGTGGCCAAACAGTTGCCTCCAGGCAGAAATGGCCCAAAATTGAGAGAAATGCAACTTTTGAACTAAACTTTAAAAAAGTGGACCTTTAAGAAATTTGCCCATCCCTATCATGCAATCCTGGAACTGCAGAGTCAAAGTCCAACCCCCCTGCAATGCAGGAACCCCTAAACTAGAAGCCACACTGCCTTGGCAGCTTATGCACCAGCACCTGTCGTTCTTCCAAGGGAGTAGCTTCCAAGGAGCTCTTTTGCATGGGGGAAACTGATGCAGCATCTTCAAGGGACGTTTGTGGGAGCCCCATCGCTGACTCCACCCTGCATGCTCTCGGCATGGCCTGCCTTGCTGAATTGCCTCTGTTTGTTGTCCAGCTGAGGCTCTTAACCTCTGCCCTTCTCTCCCCCTTGATCTCCCTCTCCAGAGTACTGGAAGATCATGGCTTTGCTCTATTACCCTGCCTTCTACTACCCCTTAATTGCATGTGCTACGGTCAGGCACAGAGCTGGGTACTTCTTGGGCTGCCTGCTGTCCTGGTGCCATTGCGTGGTCCATCTCTGGCAGAAGGTGGAATGCCCTCAGTCGCCCAAGGTAAAGACAACCGGGGAGGCTGGAAGGCCCTGAGGTTTGGTTGGCACGGGCCAGTTCTAAATGGCTGCAAGGAGGAAGCCCGTTCCTGGAGAGACTGGCTGCTGCTTTGCAGGAGGGGTGGGCAAGAACACCTGTCCATGTTCTGAGCAATATATGATGCCCATAATGGCACCATAGCTGTGTGTGCCTGGCCCATCTTTGCAGATCTCAAGACCCAACTGTTGGCAAAGAAAGGGCTTGCTGGGAATCAGGAGCCAGGAGGTCGGTGAGGCAAGAAGCCTCTTCAAGGGCTTTCAGCTCAGGATCTACTGATAGGGTGTGAAAGCAGAGGGCCCACCCGCAGGTGGTACCAGAGGCAATGACAGGCAATCAGCAAATTCTAGTATTGTCCCTACCCTCCTCTTCCTCCCTGCTGGGTTCTGCAAGGGTTGTAGAAACTTGCTGGAGTTATCCAGCAGAGGGAGAGTTGTCACTTGTAATGGGATTTATGAGCTGAACACACGTTTGTCTTTCTTGCAGCCATTCTCTTTGTCTCTGCTCAGATTTATAGGTACTATTCCCTGCTTTCTTATCTCCCCATCATCCTGTGCCTTGTGGTTTTGAGCCTTTGGTATCCTGCACAGCTTGTCAAGAGCTTCAGAGAGCAGAAGAGGAAGAAAGTGACGGTGGAGGTAAGGCATGGCAACATCACTGGGTCAAACTAGAGGAAGATACGTCTCCGGGTGCTGGTGTAGACTGAGTGGAGCAGGGATGGGAAACCTCATCTCCTCCAGATGCTTAATTATAAGAGTACTTGTATACCAATATATAACACACATATGGTTTACACAACAATGAAAACACAAAAGCCGTACACAGTTAAAAACATTCAAAAGGCTAGAAACAGACCACTATAAACCAAGGTGGAAAGATGCATTCTTAATTGCTTGCCCAGCAGAATAGAAAAGTTTCCAGTAGGCATTTCAAAGTTGGCACAAAATGCGTCTGCTGACTCTCCAGTGGTGGAGAGTTCCACAGGGCCAAAGGCGCTGTCGCTTCTTGTTTTCAAGTGAGCTTCGCCAACTTGGGGAACAGCCAACCACATTCCTGCAGGTGATCTCAGCGGGATAGAAGGGTTCAGGCAAACCCTGGACCTAAGTTGTTTGGGGCTTTATAAATTAACACAAGGACCTTACACCTGTCTCAGTAGTAGATGGGCAGCTAGTGCAGCTGTCAGCAATCTGGTCACAACATTTTGCACCAGCTGGAGCATCTGAACCAGGACCAAGGGCAGTTCCACACAGGGTGCATTGTGGTAGTTCAGCCTCAAGGCTTACGCGTGAACTACAATTCTGGGACTCCAACCCCCATTGGTTTTCTAGCATGTCCAAGGTTCAGGGGTGATGGGAGTTGTGGTCCAACAAATCCCTGGAGGGCCACAGGCTCAGCCTCTTCGTCCCTGGAACAGAAAGGACCTTAGCACAAGAAAACAGACATGCTGCAAAGCAAAAGCCTTACTTTATTCCTGGGACGTGGGGAGTGTGCATGGCTTTGTCATGAGGCCAGCAGTGGACAGAGCCCATCTTCCCTAACCATTGGCCATGCTGGCTTGGGCTGAAGGGAGCTGAGAGTCAGAAGGACAGAATAATTCTCAGGTAAGGAAGTGTTGGGAATATCAGCTGGCACCCTCTGTTTCAACTTTTAAATTCCTGATGGATGGAAGCAGGCAATGAAGAATACATTTTCCACAACTGTTAGTTGGTTACTGATTTTAACTTTTTCATACGGTTTTCATTGTATGGTTTTACATGCTCCTGTTGTAACCTGCTCTGATCGTTCTTATAAATAGAGGTAAAGGGACCCCTGATCATTAGGTCCAGTTGTGGCCGACTCTGGGGTTGCGGCGCTCATCTCGCTTTATTGGCCGAGAGAGCCGGCATACAGCTTCCGGGTCATGTGGCCAGCATGACTAAGCCGCTTCTGGCGAACCAGAGCAGCGCACAGAAACGCCGTTTACCTTCCCGCTGGCGTGGTACCTATTTATCTACTTGCACTTTGACGTGCTTTCAAACTGCTAGGTTGGCAGGAGCAGGGACTGAGCAACAGGAGCTCATCCCATTGCGGGGATTCGAACCGCTGACCTTCTGATTGGCAAGTCCTAGGCTCAGTGGTTTAACCCACAGCGCCACCCGCGTCCCCATTCTTATGAATAGTTGCATATAAATATACCAACTTGTTAAGGGAAAAAATACAACAGGACTTGCCCTTGTTGAATTGGGGTTTGGCGGGGAAAAATACAGGCAGGAATTCTGAGATAGTGTGGCACTAAGGTTTTACAGCAGAGCATGTGGACCTGTCTAACGTTTCCGACTCCCAGCTGCTTCCATTACGAAACAGGTACAAATTATGCAAGGCATTGCCAATATGTGGTGCATATTTTTGGAGTGAGCACAAATTGTAGATGCCGTACAGAAACAGAAAATGGAACCTGACCCACTTGGCAGTTCCTGAAATGTCAAGGTGACATGCATGCCTGCGCGCATTTAAAAATAACAAGTGTTTCATTTTCACACACCTTTCCGCTCCATGAAGTTCTGGCGGTGCAGAGTTTCTTTTGGTGGGGAGGAATGAGCTGTGCTCTTGCAATTACTTGATAGGCAATAGATTAAGCTGACACAACAAAATGGAGGAATTGTCTGGCCTGGGAACAAACAGCTTTCTAAGTTCCTAGCTCAGGAGTGGGGAAAACCTTGTGGCCATCCAGAGGCTGTTGACCAAGCCTCAGGGACTATGAAAAAGCTGTTGTCTTGCAACAGTGTGAAGCTAATGCAGTTCTCGGCTGCTTTAACAGAAGTCTCATGTTCAGTCAAGGGAAGTTCTTGTTTTTATTATGTATTTTTGGTTTTTATCTTTTATTTTGCTGCTGTGAACTGCTCTGAGATCTACAGATGAAGGGCAATATACAATTCTAATTTAATAATAATAGTTACAGGTAGGCAGCCGTGTTGGTCTGCCATTGTTGAAACAAAATTAAAAAATTCCTTCCAGTAGCACCTTAGAGACCAACTAAGTTTGTTATTGGTATGAGCTTTCGTGTGCATGCCAATAACAAACTTAGTTGGTCTCTAAGGTGCTGCTGGAAGGAATTTTTTTATTTAATAATGATAATAATAAAGGTAAAGGGACCCCTGACCATTAGGTCCAGTCGCGGACGACTCTGGAGTTGCACGCTCATCTCGCTTTACTGGCCGAGGGAGCCGGCGTTTGTCTGCAGACAGCTTCTAAGTCATGCGGCCAGCATGACTAAGCCACTTCTGGCAAACCAGAGCAGTGCACAGAAACGCCGTTTACCTTCCCACCAGAGTGGTACCTATTTATCTACTTTCACTTGACGTGCTTTCGAACTGCTAGGTTGGCAGGAGCAGGGACTGAGCAACGGGCGCTCACCCCGTTGTGGGGATTCAAACCGCCAGCCTTCTGATGGGCAAGCCCTAGGCTCTATGGTTTAGACCACAGCGCCACCCGCATCTGAATAATAATAATAGTCCCATTCTATTCTGCCTTGGTCAGACCACACCTGGCGTCCTGTGTCCAGTTCTGACCACCACAGTTTAAAAAGGATATTGACATGCTGGAATGTGTGCAAAGGAGGGCAACCAAGATGACCAAGCCTTATGAGGAACAATGGAGGGAGTTGGGGATGTTTGGCCTGGAAAAGAGGAGACTCAGAGGAGAAAGGAGAGGCATCTTCAAATATCTAAAAGGAGGATGGAACAAGCTGGTTTTCTGCTGCTCTGGAAGGCAGAACCCAAACCAGTGGATTCAAATTGCAAGGAAGGGGGTTCCGACTAAAGCTTAGGAAGAACTTCCTGGCAATAAGAGCTGTTTGACAATGGACCATATTCACTCAGTCCTCAGAAGGCGGTGGACTCTCCTTCCTTGGAGGTTTTTAAGCAGAGGCTGGATGACCATCTGTCAGGGATGCTTTCCCTGTGATTCCTCAATGAGCCTTGGGGTCCCTTCTGATTCTACAATCCTGTGATTTCCTTCCCAAGGCCGACTCTAAATTGAGGTGCCCTCAGTTTACAGGGTGTGTGGGAAAGACAATTTGGCTCTTTGGGCGGGGGGGACAATAATCTGCTTTTATTTTTGCTGAAATCTAAACCACTTAGCTCAAGAAGATTTGAGTTTCTGAATGTTTCCTATTCAGAGCCTTACAGTGGAAGGAGGAGAGTGAGTGTTTGGCAACAGAATCATAATCCAAACGACTGGCACAGAGGTCCTTGTTTTAAGAAAGAAAGCTCTATTTTAAAATAAATAAATAATCGATAGAAGCCCAAATCTGCACTCGGATTTTAGGGTTTAGCCCAATCCACAACTCTGGGATAAGGAGTCGGAACAGAACGTTCCTTCTTATTCCATTTCAGATGTTTGTGCAGATCTCCAGCTGGGATCCTGCAACAACCTTGTGTAGTGACAGACCCACTCCTCTCCCCACGATAATTAGCACCTCCGCAACTGCGATCACAAAGGCTGGCGAGGCATATGGGAATTATGCAAGGCATTTTTAAATAGGTTGCAGAAGTCGGGTGCTTCTTTAAAAATATAAGAAGTGTGCTGAGGATGTTGCAGAAACTGTCTGAAGGCGCAGCATCTCTTTGCTGGGTCTTTTCTGGGTTGGCGCAAGCAAGAGCATACCCTGACTGTCAGTGGCAGAGAGAGAGGTCACCAACAGAGCTTCACTCAAAGTAGATCTAATATAAATGCAATAAATAAATATATCATGGGTGTCTTTGCTACATATCACAGCCTGCATGTTGGTGGGTAGCCTTTCACAATATGGTTTTGCTTCCTGCAGGAAGATGCTGGAACAATCAGCTATGAGCCTCTTCCTGAATCACTGCCTTGCCAACCCACCGTGGTGCCAGTCCTTGCCCACTGACTGTAGCGTCAGATAGTGACTTGAATGTGTGAATGAGACATCACAGATTAATCAGCGCAGATGGTAGCATTTCTGGAGGGGCTCAGAATTCAGAGAACGTGGTTTGCATGTAGAAGATCCCAACTTCAATCCCCAGTATCTTCATGCAGGACCAGGAAAGAATCCTTTCTGGAATGCTAGAGAGTCATGGCAAGTTAGTGGAGAGTCTCGTTGGAGAGACAGTGTGGTGTAGTGGTTAGAGTGTCAGACTAGGACCTGGAAGAGGCCAGGGTTCAAATCACCCACTTGGTGCCAGTCACTGCCTTTCAGCCTAACTTGCCTTGCAGTTTTTATGCGGATTGCGAGAGCCTTGGGTGCTACATTGAGCTCATTGGGCGGCAGAGTGGGTTATAAATGCAATAAATTATAATTACGGTATACTAATTCTAAACAGGGAAATGTTTTTTTTCCAGTGGTGGCTCCTCAGTTGGGAACCCAAGGAGGTTCAGCTGGCACCATCATTGCATATCTTTAGGTGCCAGACAAAAACATTCCCTTTTAATCAGACCTTCGGCTTTTAAGTGTCTTATCACCTGTTTGCATGGGGCGGTATTTTAGTGTAGGTTTTTTTTATTTAAAAAAATATGAATTGTTAACAACAACAACAACAACAACAACAACAACAATAATAATTTATTATTTATACCCCGCCCTTCTGGCTGGGTTTCCCCAGCCACTCTGGGTGGCTTCCAACAGAATATTAAAATACAATAGTCCATCAAACATTAAAAGCTTCCCTAAAGAGGGCTGCCTTCAGATGTCTTCTAAAAGTCTGGTAGTTGTTTTTCTCTTTGACACCTGGTGGGAGGATGCTCCATAGGGTGGGTGCCACTACCGAGAAGGCCCTCCCTATAACTTGGCTTCTCGCAGTGAGGGAACTGCCAGAAGGCCCTCGGCGCTGGACCTCAGTGTCCGGGTAGAACGATTGGAGTGGAGATGCGCCTTTTAGATACTCCAGCCTTGCCTCCATGCTGGTTTTAATGATTCCCTGAAAAATGGAGTGAAGCAGAGCTCTGGCTGAGCACACCTGAGAGAGAGCCAGGATGGAAATGGACTGAGCTTTTGGGTGTGCTTCCTCCTGTTTTCTCTCTCAGCAGCATCACTGGCTTATTTTGCCCTTTTGAAAAGATGCAGCTCCTACCATATTATCCCCAATCAAAGCACATTTGCCACATTGCAGTTGAAGGGCAAGCCTCCCTCAAAAATTTCCTCTACAGCACTAGAGACATCTGGCCAGGCAGCCTGTGAATCCTCCTGTACAATTGGTGGTCTTCTCCTTTAATTCAAAGAGCCTTTTTACTTGAACCACATTCCCTGGAGACCATATTTTCTGGGCCTTCTGGTCCTCAAGGGAGTAATTGGAGAATCCTGTGTGGTCTCTGCCCCAGCCCCCTTTGCTTTTTAATTTATTCTTCATCTCGTCCTCCTTCCTTGCCCTGATTTCCCAGGTGGTGTCTGCCATCAAATATCTCTTGGATGAATTGCTTGCATTTTCTCTCTGGCCCCAGACAGCCAGCAGCATCTCAAGATGGGGCTTGTCACGTTAGTACTCCACGGCTCAAGCTCAGACTCAGACTGGCTCCTGGGCTGCGGTAGCCCTTGGCAAAGTGTTTTCCTGATGGTGCAAATGGCCACTTTGATTTTCCACAATTCCCACAAAGCTGCACTGGGCTTATAGGGTTGCTTGCTCCAGCAGCCACTGGGTGTGCCCACAGCCAGGAGCCCAGGGCAGGCATCAGGGCAGAGAAAGCTGGATGCCCCCGCAGCTGTCGAAGGGTGCCAGTTTCCTGTACCAGGCCTGCTATAAACCTAAGCAGTACTTGAGCCAATGATGGCCAAGTACCTAACAAGAATGTGCAGCAGGGGTGATTATTGGAGCTGTCAGTTAATTTATTTTCCAACTAATTAACTATTCATTTTGCAAATTGCAAAACTGCACATGTTTGTCATGTTCATAATTAATGGCTTTTACAGGTGTGCACCTAATATTCTTTTAATGTGCAAAGCGGACGCTTACATTTTTGCAACTGCCCCTTTAGCTATGTGAAAATTGAGTCGAACCGATGGATTGATTGAGACCTTTGTACCTTGTCAGCAGGGGCATTTTGGGGCGGAAGTGGGGTGTGTCCAAGGCCCAGTTACGCAACAATGTCTTAAAAGCCAAGTCAGAGTGAGGGCAATGCTTTCTGCCATTACTCTGAATGGGCAAGCATTTTCATTCCATTTCACAGCCCTGCGGAGCAACTGCCAAACTGGAGGTGTGTTTTGCAGCCCGTGCTTTGGTGTGGTCTGGCTTTCAAGACCACCCTGCCTGGCTGGCTAGCTGAATATGGCTTAGGAAATGGCAATTGTGACAGCCTAGGTCTTCTGTGTTAAACTGAGTCCCAGATCCCTTGCCCCTTTCCCTAAACACACACACACTTTAAAAAAAAAAAAAGAAGAATACATAGTTTACGTGGTGGGCCGGGCATGCTGTGAAATGCAGATGTTTCTGCAAATGTTTCCCACCCCCTATCCTAAATTTTCTCTGGAACTTCCATACTTATAAATTAGCAAATTTGTGCTATGAAGCTGTACCCCAAATCCTTTAAGTACGCAGCAAGGTTCCTAAAAGGTAAAGGGACCCCTGACCACTACGTCCAGTCGTGGCCGACTCTGGGGTTGCGGCGCTCATCTCACTTTACTGGCCAAGGGAGCCGGCGTACGGCTTCCGGGTCATGTGGCCAGCATGACAAAGCCGCTTCTGGTGAACCAGAGCAGCGCACGGAAACGCCATTTACCTTCCCACCGGAGCGGTACCTATTTATCTACTTGCACTTTGACGTGCTTTCGAACTGCTAGGTTGGCAGGAGCAGGGACCGAGCAACGGGAGCTCACCCTGTCGCAGGGATTTGAACCGCCGACCTTCTGATCGGCAAGCCCTAGGCTCTGTGGTTTAACCCACAGCGCCACCCGCGTCCCTTAGCAAGGTTCCTACTTTCCCCCTATATTTCAAATGCTGTCTGTTAAGTATTGTAGAACTGTAGAATTGGAAGGGACCCAAAGGGTCATCTAGGTCCTGCTCCCCCCCCCCAAAAAAAATCAGGAATCACAGCTAAGAGAGCATGGCCTAATCTGGAGATGTGGTCACATTCACACAATACCTTTAAAACACTCTAGTACTACTAAAACAGTCATGGGTGCTGGGGACTCTAGCTCTGTTGGGTGAACACCTTTGGGGTGGAAGCTATGCCAGTTGAAGTGGCATTAGAGCACTTTCCGTGGGGGTGGGGGCAGATGCGACCTTGCACCAAAAATTCGTGTGGAATAATCAGTCTTTTGTGTCTGTTTTAAGCTGCCGGGGAGTGGCTATTACGAAGACTATCTGAAGAATATCCTGGCAAAAAGGACGCCAAATAAAAGGTAAAACCTCTCTCTCTCTCTCTCTCTCTCTCTCTCTCTCTCTCACACACACACACACACACACACACACACACACACAGACACACACAGCCTGCCTTTCATTCAGCAAAACCGCATGCGAAAATCTGGAGATGAATGGGAACTGGAATGGGGGTGGGTGGGCAAGTTGGCCCCAGAATATCCCTGTATCTTGTTTCATCTTTTTTGTAAACCGCTTTTAGGGTTGTTTAAAAACAACAGCAACAACACACCAAGCCATGAGTAAATTCTATGACATAAATAAAAATAAGAATAATGTGGCTCTCTTAATACGTAAAAATTTAATGTTATAATATATCAAGATTAAAGATCAGGATTAAAAAGGAGGGAAAGGAATTGCTGGGCTAACAAATTGAATTGGAATACAAAAGAGGGTGGTATGAGGAGGTCCGGGAAACAAGTAAATGTAAGAGAAGTGATGAAAAGATGGAATTGTTTTTAACTGTTTTTTATTTTTTTTATTTTGTACTTTTCCTTTTTATTGTTATTTTTCTGATTAATGTAATCTTCTTTTTTTGAAACTTTAATAAATATCATTTTTTTTAAAAAAAGAATAATGTGGCTCTCTATCTGGCCCAAGCCACGCTCCTTGTTGGCCCCAATCCACACCCTCTTCAAGTATTTATTACCTCCCGGAGAGCTTGACCTATGATCACACATCTGGGTTGGCTGGATGGAGCCATGAGCATGGAAACCTCTGGCTTTTGCAGGCTGGATAGTAGTCTATTATACCAAGGCAACAGTAGCTCCACCCACTTTTTAAATAAATTAATCAATATGAAGCAAGAAAGGCGAATTAAAGACAACACATTATTAGGTTAACAACAACAGACACACAACAAGCAGGTATGATAAAAACAGAAGGCTGAATATAATCTTAAACTTAGAGTAAAATAAACCCCATTACTGTCATGGGTGGAATGGATCATATATTGTTGAATCAATCAAATCTATTGATAAGCAAAGGGAGGGGGGATGTACCCTGTTCTTCCCTATTGGCATAAGTAGTAAAATCAAAGCAGACATCTGGAAATCTATCCTTTTTACATTATCCGTTGGAACTGTGTGGTTTGTTGGTCACCTTTCCTACTAAATCAAGCTCCCAAACTTTGGAACTGCCACATCCACTTTTTGCTAGGTTTGAAAAATAATATTGGTTTGCTTATAGTTCATAGGTAGATAGATAGATAGATAGATAGATAGAGTGGTTCCTCGGGTTACATATGCTTCAGGTTATAAACTCTGCTAACCCAGAAATAGTGCCTCAGGTTAAGAACTTTGCTTCACAATGAGAACAGAAATCGTGCTCTGGCGGCACGGCGGCAGCAGGAGGCCCCATTAGCTAAAGTGGTACCTCAGGTTAAGAACAGTTTCAGGTTAAGAACGGACCTCCAGAACGAATTAAGTTCTTAACCCGAGGTACCATTGTAGATAGATAGATAGATAGATAGATAGATAGATAGATAGATAGATGATAGATATAGATAGATAGATGATAGATAGATAGATGATAGATAGATAGATAGATAGATAGATGAGAGAGAGAGAGAGAGAGAGAGAGAGGGAGAGGGAGAGAGAGAGATATGATAGAGATAGAATCACAGATGATAGATAGATAGATAGATAGATGATAGATAGATAGATAGATAGATAGATAGATAGATAGATATACATAGATAGATAGATAGATAGATAGATAGATAGATAGATAGATGATAGATAGATAGATAGATAGATAGATGAGTAAATAATATAGCTTGGAGGCTGGAGCTAACCCACTGTCCACTGCCTCTCTCATTTGCTAGCATTGCTAAAAAAGTAACATAAAATGCACCGGAGTCCCATTGGTAAAGTGGAAAAAAAGGTTCTTTGCTTCCAGTTATGTACTTCACATTCCCAAGAATGGCTTTGGATTCTAAGAATATGCCATGAGAGGTAGTGTTATGGCTGCCTCGTGCAGGAGGGAGAGAGAGAGAGAGAGAGAGAGAGAGAGAGAGAGAATGAAAGCGAGCAGGAGAAAGGGTTGCAGCCTGGGTGTGAAGTGGGAAAGCACAAAGTGTATTTTCCCAGACTATCTGCTAGTGCCAACCTTGCTTTCTGCTGGCTGGAGGCATGCTAGCTTGCTTAAGCCCAGCAAAAGTTGTCGATGAGGCATTGCGGCCCTCAGCCTGAAAAGGGTCCCCTGGCCCTGTCCTCGTGTCTTGGCGTGCTTGTGTGTGTGCCTCTTCTTCTCTGCCTGAGCCAAACTTTCTTTCTGTCCCTCTAGCATCAGCAGAGCCAAGCCAAGCCTGCTGTCAAGGATCCGCTCCTATGTCTGCTCATTCCTCTACGCACCTCAGGAAGGTACTGTATGCACAGATCTTTTGAAAGGCTCCATTGTTGCTTCGGCTTGTTCGTAGGTCCTCCACCCGCAAAAGAGGCTGCAGGTGGAGAAAACAGGTGGAGAAACGCAGGCAAATGAAAGCCACAGTGGGTGCTTCTTCTTGAAGCGGTCCTGGCAACCAGGGATTATGAAGGCAACATGATTCCGTCAAGGGATGCTGCCAGTTTCACAATGATAGCTTGATAAAGCCAAATCAGAGTGAGAGTAGTGCTTTCTGCCCTCACTCTGAATGGACAAGTGTTTTCATCCCATTTCACAGCCCTACGGAGCAATTGGGCAGAGGAAGGGGGAGGTAGGGGCGGTCCGCCCCAGGTGTCACCACTGAGGGGGGTGACAAAATGTCGGGCAGCACTCACCGTAGGGCCTGCAGCGCGCCCAAGCCACGCTTCTCTCTTGGGAGTGATGCAGTGGCTTGGGCACCCGCAGGCTTCGCGCTACCCCAAACGGTCCGCCCGCCACCTCCCCCTCAGCTATAGGGCGGCTGAGTGGGAGGAGGCAGGCACACTCCTTGGAGGTCCCACGGAACGTCCTTCCCCGCTGGAAGCAATGACTATCATTCCTGGCAGACCACCCTACTTAGCTAATGAGCTGAATTTGCCTTAGGAACCAGCAATTGTGAATGTGTGTTTGTGGCTGTTGGATTTCTTTGTGGAATCTTGGGACACATCTCTTGATTATATACTTCAGTTGTTTGGACCAAAGCTTCCCTCTCTCTCTCTCTCTCACACACACACACACGCACACAAACACACAATTGTGTTTTCACTCATTTCATTTAAGCTACTCTCCATCCATGGCCACAGACTGCATTTCTGCATTCCATTTATGTTTAACTCCCACCCTCTTTTACATTTCCTTCTTTGCACCGTATAAACCTGACAACTTAAGTCTCATGTTCCCTGCAACTAGGGGAGCAGACTCTGACCCACCAATGCTTCTTTCATTAATGACATCAGAAAATGTTGTGGAACTGTTGGGGGCTACCCATGTGTGATTGTGATTTTTTTGTGTGGAATTGCAGGCTTCCAAATCCCTCTGAAGCTGGTTCTCTCCCTCGCCACATCTGTGATTGCTGTCTATCAGGTAAGAACCTAAGAACCCACGACCTATCCAGCCCAGGATTCTGTTCTCATGGATGCCCACAAGCGGAAGAGCGCTCTATTGCACATGTCTCCCAACAACTGGTACCCAGAGACATAAGAGCATCAGAAGAGCCTGCTGGGTCAGGCCAGTGGTCCATCTAGTCTAGCATCCTGTTCTCTCAGTGGCCAGCCAGATGAACCATCTCTTGGTTTACAGGTGGCCCTCCTCCTCCTGGCAGTCTTCGTCCCCAGCATCCAGATAGTAAGGTCTGGGATGACCAAGGAGCTGACTGCACTCTTCATCCAGTTTGGTTTAGTCCCCTCTGAAAATCCCGCTGGGATCCCTGGAGACAAAGAGTTAGCCACCCTCAAGCACTACATCTGGTCGCTAGAAGGTGAGTCTTTGGGGCCCTGGTCTTGTTGACAATGTCCCTTTCTGCCCCTGATAAAAGCAAACTCTGGAGGTGGTCACAGAATCATGGAATTGCAGAGTTGGAAGGGGGCCCATCTAGTCCAACCTTCTGCAATGCAGGAATCACAACTGGAGCATCCCCAAGAAATGGCTCTGAAGAACTAAAGAAACACAAGGATATAAGAGTGCCCATTCCTGGCTGCGCCCCCTGCCCACATTTTTATTTTTCAATTATTCCTCCCCCCCCAAAAAAATAATAATAATAACGAAACTGTAGGAACAAGAACTGGGTCACAAGCCCAGTTATCCAAGAAGGTCTCCACATGAATACAGTCTAGTCTTTTGTATTTATCTTGGAGCATATCTCTAAGCACATTAATGATCAATATATCCTCTCCAGAGCTGGTTGGCCCCCTAACTGAGAAGCTAAAAATAATGATAATAAATGTTGAGCCAGCATTTTAGTCATCGTTCCCATAATTCAATTGAAGTGACCTTTCCCCTTTCCCAAGTTTGCTGAGCTATCAAAATGTCAATTAACAGATACATAATGAATTCAGCTTAGTGCCAAGATCTTTTAAATCTCCTAGAATTCTCTGCACAGGATCTAGCAGCATGAAAACACCTGTCAGGTTGCTTTTGTACTTTATTCCAGAAGCAGTTATTCTGGATAAAAAATTAAAATTGAAAATAAGAAGAGCCCTGTTGGATCCAACCCATTCTTGATGTTTCTTTTCAAATCCCTGCAACGGGGTGAGCTCCCATTGCTCTGTCCTAGCTCCTGCCAGCCTAGCAGTTCGAAAGCATGCCAGTGCAAGTAGATAAATAGGTACCGCTCCAGCGGGAAGGTAAACGGTGTTTCCATGCACTCTGGCTTCCGTCATGGTGTTCTGTTGCATCAGAAGTGGTTTAGTCCTGCTGACCACATGACCCAAAAAGCTGTCTGTGCACAAATGCCGGCTCCCTCTGCCTGAAAGTGAGATGAGTGCCACACCCCATAGTCACCTTTGACTGGACTTAACCATCCAGGGGTCCTTTACCTTTTACCTTTTTTATTTCAAGTGTAAGGCGTCATGCAACTATTACCTCCAAAACAATTTACATTGTTTACTTTATTTCATAAAATTTATACACTGCTTATTTTTTTAAAAAAAACCATCAGAGTGGTTTACTTTAAAACAGACAAAATTTTAAATACGGTACTAAAACAGCTTAAAACTCACATCAACTTTCTAGCCACCTGGTCAGGCTTGTCTAAACTAGCATGGTTTTTGGTTGTTTAGTTGTGTCCGACTCTTCGTGACCCCATGGATCAGAGCACGCCAGGCACTCGTGTCTTCCACTGCCTCCCGCAGTTTGGTCAAACTCATGCTGGTAGCTTCGAGAACACTGTCCAACCATCTCGTCCTCTGTTGTCCCCTTCTCCTTGTGCCCTCCATCTTTCCCAACATCAGGGTCTTTTCCAGGAGTCTTCTCTTCTCATGAGGTGGCCAAAGTCTTGGAGCCTCAGCTTCAGGATCTGTCCTTCCAGTGAGCACTCAGGGCTGATTTCCTTCAGAATGGATAGGTTTGATCTTCTTGCAGTCCATGGGACTCTCAAGAGTCTCCTCCAGCACCATAATTCAAAAGCATCAATACTCCAGCGATCAGCCTTCTTTATGGTCCAGCTCTCACTTCCATACATCACTACAGGGAAAACCATAGCTTTAACTATATGGGCCTTTGTTGGCAAGGTGATGCGTCTGCTTTTTAAGATGCTATCTAGGTTTGTCATTGCTTTTCTCCCAAGAAGCAGGCGTCTTTTAATTTTGTGGCTGCTGTCACCATCTGCAGTGATCACGGAGCCCAAGGAAATAAAATCTCTCACTGCCTCCATTTCTTCCCCTTCTATTTGCCAGGAGGTGATGGGACCAGTGGCCAGGATCTTCTCTTTTTTTATGTTGAGCTTCAGACCATATTTTGCACTCTCCTCTTTCACCCTCATTAAAAGGGTCTTTAATTCCAGTGAAAGCACCTGCCTGAGATCAATAGGCAAGGAGTTCCAAACTGTCGCTGCTGTCACACTAAATGATCAAGTTCTTACCAATGTGCTGTGGGTCTTGTGTGGCACCTGCAGAAGGGCCAGTTCCGTCAAGTGAAGCAGCCAAGGGGACCCAGGAGGGGCAAGAAAATCTCGTAAGGAGTTATGGCCCAGATCCAAAGGTGGCAAAACTCTTTTAGCCTGAGGGCCACCTTCCCTTGGGGACAACCTTCCATGCCAATGATGGGCTGGGCCAGAGGCCAGAGGCCAGAGTGGGTAGGGCTAGCAATTGGACTCTTGTGATAGGTTACATTCCATAGGAGACCACAATACCTCAGGGACTGCCTCTCCCCATATGGACCAACTCAGTCCCTGCAATCATCCTCTGAGGCCCTTCTTCGTGTGCCTGCTCCACAAGAGGTCCGGAGGGTGGCAACATGAGAGCAGGACCTTTCTGTGGTGGCTCCCCATTGGGTGAATGCTCTCTCCAGGGAGACTTGCCTAGAGCCTTTGTTGCATATCCTTAGGCGCCAGGCATAAAAATTCCTCTTCTCACAGATCTTTGCCTAATTAAACAATCTATGGTATTCTAAACAAGGGCAGGGGTTTGTGGTGTTGTATTGTTTTAGTTTCTTACTATGTTGTGCATTTTTTGAGTTTATATTATGGCTGCCATATCTTGAAGAGCAAAAAAAGAGGACGCTATGGTGACTCTCATTTTAAACACCCTACTATATGTAAACTATAGAAGCTGTAATATATTGCTGAGGGGGGCAGGAGAAGAGAAGAGGAAAGCAAGTCTTCAGCCACCAGTTATACCTACGTCTCATCCAGAAATTATAGCCAGAGATATTTTGGCAAATTTGAAAATCCACCCGGACAGAAATTTTACCCCTGAAAAAGAGGAGATTCGTCATCCATCAAACCAATGCTTAAAAAAAATACATACATTTGGGGAAAGGGTGCATAAAACTGAATATATCAATGGAAATTGCATATGAAATGCATCTGCCAGGGATGCTTTAGTTGTGATTCCTACGTTGCCGGGGGTTAGACTAAATGACCCTTTTGGTCCCAACTCTATGGTTCTTTTACTATATTGGGAGAAAATGCTTACAAAATGTGTGCCTTAGTGGAAATTGCATGCAAAGGACAGATTCACACTATAATGCACATGAGGGCTTTTTATTGTTTTTTAAAAAATCACAAATTGGCTGCAGAAAGGGGGGACAATAGAATTTAAATGGGAACAATGAGAAAGCAAGGGCTTCTCCATCCTCCTCTTGCCCCTCTGCTTCCCCTTAAAGGGGGGGGGGGGGCGGAACGCGACCCACTCTTTAGCACTCAATCAGAGTAAAAGGCAATTTGGTTTTTTCTGGATTGGCCTTTCTTCCAATTTCATTCTAAACCATGGATGTAGCCAGGATTTATGGGGAGGGGGTAGGCTTTATGTGGGGGGGGGGTAGAACTTCAGCTAGTTAAGTATTTTGTATTGATCTACTTGACTTAGGGGGGCAGCTGCCCGTACACTAAACATTGGGTTTCCCCCAAGAAAGGAGTGGGAGAATGGGGAAAGCACAAAGGCCTCTGCTTTCTAGGCATGGGAAAAGCAGGAATGTGGACGAGGACTTTGAGAACCAAAATTCCCCAATCCTTCCATCCTTAGTCATGGTCATGGCATTATTGTCCTCAAATTGGACTGTTGCTACAAGTCGAAAGGATGGTTAGCACGTTCCCCAATTACTACCTGGGTATCTTTCATCTGATGAAGAGGGCAAGTTCCAAACACTGGGATGCTGATACGGCTGTGTAGTTATCAAGTTGGCTGCCTGCCCCACGTGCTTCAATGTTTCTCCAAATGTTTTTCTTTTCTTTTTTGACATCCTAAGTTCCTAGCCCTCGCGCTGTGCGTGCAGAGACCTTTCTGAAGTTCAGAGGGGATGGATTCTGGATGTAGGGAAACCTTGCAGACGGGATCAGGGTCTGTGGTCAAAGCTTCCTAATCTGAGGAGCGTCTTATGGCATGCAAACATCCTTGTCATTGTGGGGTCCATTGGGGGTTTCCTTTATGCGGATTCGCCCTCATTCCCTGATTTCTTTCTGGGCCATTTGCCAGCAAGCTAAAAGCAGCGCTCAATGCCAAGAAGCAAAGAGGGAGTGAAATACAGGCAGCAATTTCACCCCGCAGATGGTAGTGCAGTGCTCACAAAGGCTTGCGGGGGGAAGGAAGTGGTAGGATCCTGCATTTGGCACAGAGAGGATGGGATGGAAAAGATGCTGCATGGAGGAGGGGGAGGGGTGTGCATAGCCGATGACAGGATGACTGACAGGCAGGCAGGCAGACAGACAGGCAGACAAATGGGCTGCTGCCTGTCTTGTCAGCTCTCCCTGGTGATAAGGACCCTCCCTCTTGCTATAGCCAGTGGCGTAGCGTGGGGGTGCAGGGGGGGCCGGCTGCACCGGGCGCAACATCTGGGGGTTAGGGTTAGGGGGCGCAAATCCACGGGTTAGGGGGCGCAAATTACTTGCCTTGCCCCGGGTGCTGACAACCCACACTACGCCACTGGCTATAGCAGAATGGCAGAAGCACACCTGAACCAAGGTAATGCATGTGAGAGTCAGGGACCACATCTGCACCAAGATACCACTTTAAGCAACCCCCTGCTTCCCCCAAAGAATTATGGGAGCTGTGCTTTGTGAAGAGTGCTGCTGAGAGTTGCTAGAAAGTCCCGATTCACCTCCCAGAGCTGCAATTCCCAGAGTTCCCTGGGAAAAGAGGGACTGGTTGTGAAACCACTCCTGTTTTTTGCAGTCTGCTTCGTCTCCTCCCTGGTCGTCTCCTGCCTGCTGACTTTCTGTATGCTGATGAAGTCCATGGGGAAGCACAGGTGAGCCTTGTCCTTCTGGACTCCACCGGGGGCAGGGAAAGGAGGTCCATCAGGGCAAATGGGGCTCTGCCCCACCAAAATCAGGCTGCCCCAGGCCAGCCCCCTCCTGCTTCTCTTCTTAACTGGCAAGAGATATGGCATGGCATTCCCTTCGTCTTCCTCCTGCTCCATTTCACTTTGCGTGCATTAAGTGCTCCAGCTGAAAAGCCCAATCTAGCATTAAAGAAGCTCCGTGGTTTGTGCATCAAGCCACTTCCACTGTTGTTCTCATCCCTGCTTTGAGAACAAATGCCTTCACTTGGCATCCACCATCCTAAAAGTCCTTCTTTCGCAATGAGGGGTTGATCTATGGAAGTCCTTCCCCCAGGAGAGAGGGATGGCCGCCAACATGGATGGCCTTAGAAGAGGATTGGACAAATTCATGGAGGAAGAGAGGGCTTTCCATGGCTACTGCGATACCACAATAGCTGTGCTCTGCCTCCACCGTGGGAATATACAAAAATGCAAACACAACACGCTAGCTAATAGCTGTTAGTAAATATATAATCGGTATGATGTCATTCAAAATAAGCAAATAAGCCACTTCAAAATAATATACCGTATTTTTTGCTCTTTTTCCCTCCTAAAAAGTAAGGGGAAATATGTGTGCCTCTTATGGAGTAAATGCAGGCTGCACAGCTATCCCAGAAGCCAGAACAGCAAGAGGGATTGCTGCTTTCACTGTGCAGCAATCCCTCTTGCTGTTCTGGCTTCTGAGATTCAGAATATTTTTTTTCTTGTTTTCCTCCTCCAAAAACTAGGCACGTCTTGTGGTCTGGTGCGTCTTATAGAGCGAAAAATACGGGTATATATCATACAACACATATCACAAAATATACAAGTGACTGCAAGTTGTTATGTGTATCAGGGTCAAACAAACGTTCAAACAACCTTTATTGCTGGAACGCCAAACCGTCTCTCAAAGGAAGACGTCTCAGCAGCTACATTATCCAGTGAGCACTGATCCACTAGTATGATATTCACTAGTATGTATTGATAATTATTCACTGATGAAGACTTTATTTCGAAACAGTTGAACTATTCCGGATGCACTGTCCTTTTGAGACTTCGGAGAAACGTCTTCCTTTGAGGCTTGTGTGAGACTTCTTCCTTTGAGAGACGGTTTGGCGTTCCTCACTATTCATTGGTTGTTTGAACCTTTGTTTGACTCTGATACACATAACAACTTGTATATTTTGTGAGATGTGTTGTATGAGATATATATAATTTTGAAGTGACTTATTCGTTTATTTTGAATGACATCATACTGATTCTATATTTACTAACAGTTCTTAGCCAGCGTGTTGCGTTTGCATTTTTGTAGATTTGTCACATTTTGCAACACAGGGGTTTGTGTTTGTTTCCAGCTTCTGAATACTAGTTGCTGGAAACCACAGGAGGGGTTTCTGCAGGAGTAGATGAGGAGCCCCCTTTGGCCTAGTCCAGCAGGCTGTTCCTAAGTTTTCATCTATCCTCCTTAAGTGCTCTCACATTCCACTTGACTGCATCTTCCCCCCGGTTTCTCCCTCTCCATTTTCAGGATCAACCTCCAGCGCCTGTACCAAGGGGCAGTCACAGACGTCTTCTATTGCTCTCGCAAGCTTCAGCCTTCACAGCAGGCTCTGGTGTGCTGGATGTTCTTTGCCAGCTTCCAAACTGCATTTGCCTGCTTAGGTAAATGATATGCTGATTTGTACCTTTTGTGTAAGGATTGGGGCGGAGGTGCTGGCGTGTTAGAGAAAGGTGCTCCCGACCAATCTGTGAAAAACAGAGGATAACTGCGATGGAAACCAACGCAATAAAACCTGCAACAAAGGGTCATCTCGTCCAACCTACATGGTGCTTGAACCCACAACCCTGAGATTAAGAGTCTCATGCTAGAGCAACTGAGTGGTCCTGTTCCACTGGGGAAGGACTTTAGGCAAAGACCAGTACAGTCATACCTCTTGTTAAGTTTGCTTCAGGTTAAATCTTTTCAGGTTGCGTCCCGCGGCGACCCGGAAGTACCAGAAAGGGTTACTTCCGGGTTTTGCTGCATGCGCAGACACTCAAAATGACATCACACGTATGCGCAGAAGCGGCGAATCGCAACCCGCGCATGCGCAGATGCAGGTTGCGTTCTGCTCATGTTGCGAACAGGGCTCCGGAACAGATCCCGTTGGCAACCAGAGGTACCACTGTATGTGTGATTACTCCAAAATGTTGCTAAGACAGCCCACCCACCTTGGGGGGCCCTTAAACTCATTCTGCATCCTGAGCCCCACAGCGCTATTGGGGTCAGGCTTGGATTGACAGGCTCTGATACAGGTGAGGGAGAAAGACAGGAGGAGGGGCATTCAATGCTCTGGTAACCTCCTGGCTAGAGGAGTGTGTGTGATGTACTTTGTGCTTTTATCCTGTGAATGGCCCCTTGATCTTTGGCTGAAGGGCAGAATATGAATTTAATGACGGATGATGATGACAATCTCCCCTTTCCACCCCAACTTCGGCCTCTTTGAAAGCAGGGGCATACAAGGAGGGGTGGTCCACCCCAGGCACCACTCGGGGGGTGACAAGATGGCCCGCTGCCCCCCCCCAGCTGTAGAGCGGCCAAGGGCACACACGCAGTTAGTCTGGGCGCAGCTAGCATGGCGTGCGTATGGGCTGCCTCTCACACGGCGACCGTACAGGCTGCCACGCATGCGCAGTCTGTTCAGACATTGCACATGCGCCGCTAGGCGGTTTGCCCCACCCCTCGGTGTCCCACCCCGGGTGCCCGAGAGGGTTCCTCCGCCACTGTTTGGAAGGGGAAGAGCAGGCATGGTCTGTCTAGCCTGTCCACACTGGCCACTTCCTCTGTTGTGATGGTGTGTTCTTGCCCCTGTTCCAGGTCTGCTCATCCAGCACATCGTCTTCTTCGTCTGCACTGTGATTTTCACTTTCTTTGTGGTCATCCCTCTGCAATCTGGCAGCAACATGCTCCTCTTTAAAATCATGGAGAACATGTGGTAAGAGTTCTATAGGCCTAATGGGCGACATACCCAAGCTTAAATCTGCAAAATGCCAAGATCGAAAATGTTAACCCAAATGAAAACTCCCTTGGATGGAGGATGCTCAAGTCAAGGTGGAAGGTACTTCTGCGAGTGTCCAGCCTTTGGTTTTGGAGCAAGGATAAGTTTCAGGGCCTCCTTCCATCACACTGGCATTGCATTTGAAAATGAAGTTGGCCCCTGAGTGTCTGTTTCTCTTATTCTCCTCTTAACGTAGCAGCCACAAGAATGACAAGATCCTGACTGTGGCATGCAGAGAAGAAGGTGTTAACTCTTTTCTACCATGCTGTCCCGCCACATTTAAACAATTGCCGACCAGCCAATGTGGTTGTCCAGATTTTGTGGGCCACAGCTCCTACTGGCCCTGCCTCTGACCTTGCTGGCCAGGGATAATGGGAGTTGGACCCCACCACATGAAGTAGCCACATGACTCTCAGAAATCTAAGTAACTGTGGCATTTCTGAATGCACCCATCCACCCCACTGCCCCTGCCACCACTACGCTGCCAAGTACTGAATAGTCTTTTTTTCATAGAACTTTGGAATGGAAAGCAACCTTGGAGGTCAACTTGTCCAACTGCAGCATCCCAAATACATGATTCTCCAGGCTCTGTGTAAGCCCCCAGTTTAAATGCCCCACCACAACCCAAGGCAGGCCCTTTGCACTTGAGTAGTAAGAAAAGAATTCCCATTGTTATATACTGAGTTGAATAGGATCCAAAATGCAGCAGGCTGATTGGTCCTAGAACAATAGGATTCAGAATGCAGCAGTCTGATTGGTCCTAGAACAATAGGATCCAGAATGCAGCAGTCTGATTGGTCCACAGGAGCCACCCAATCCAGCTCCAGGTGGAAGTGAATCCTCAACCTGATTGACCTACAGGAGAATCCCTGAATTAGCCAATCACATGGGGCCCATTGTGTAAATAACGTATAGAAAGCAGATATTTCGGGGTAACTTCCATTCCTCACTACTATGAGCTGAATAAAGAGCATGAAATCCACACTCGACTCCCGAGTATATTTCACCCAACCACTGAAATCTTTGATTTACAGAAGATGTCTAGATCACTGAGCATTATTCATCTGGACAGGTTCTAAGACTGAAGATTCCTCTTCACCCTTGCAATTTCACAGATCCTTTGAGTGGAACCATGACTATTGCACCAGTTTAAAACTGTCATGCAAATACTATAGCCTGAGCAAAACTGGCCACTTCTGATTTGCTTTCTTTGTCTAGGCCTTTCTGGTTGACCTTGGTGCTGGCTGTGGTTGCACAGAACCTGCTGACTCACTACTATTTTCTGGAGCGTGGCCGCCTCCCTAGGGAGCTGACCAACAGGTGACTATGGAAGTTGTTCATCCCAGCTAGAGCATGAGAGAGCACTGTCTCTTGGATTGCCTCTTGCAACGGCTGTGCTTGTTAACATCTCAGGGTCCAGATGATGGAATATGGACCACAGCCGTGATGTAGGCAATGACCACATGTGAACTACACATGTGCAGTATCATATCACTTTAAAAAATCATGGCTTCCCCCCCAATGAATCCTGCGAAATGTAGTCTGTTAAGAGTGCTAGGAGTTGTCTGGAGACCCCTAGTCCCTTCACAGAATTACAGTTCCCAAAGTGGTTGAACAATCAGTCTGGGAACTATATAACTCTGGGAACTATAGGTCTAGGGGGGAAGGGTTTCCTAGGAACTCTCAGCAACCTTAACAAAATACAGCTCCCAGGATTGCCATGGCTGTGGTATGAATCTGCTTTAAATGTTTAGCGTGGATATGGCCAATGAGTTGTGTTCCACAATCAGAATGGGAAGAGTGAATTGGTTTGATTGAGCCTCTAAACCGGTTTATGGTTACCCAGAGGTTAGGGGCATAAGAAGGCACGATTTCCCCTTCCACTCACTTTTCGCCATGTGCAACACCATTTCCGTTCAGCTGCAGTTCGTCTTCCACCAAAAATGTCATGATTGGCCTCTCTGTGAACTGTGGCAAAATTGTGTAACTGACATAGCTTAGGTAACTTACACTGTCATGACATTCTTCCCCCATGTTTCAGTGTAGAGGAAACACAATCCAGGGCAGAGGGGGTAGTCACAATCAATTATGTATTGATTTGTGGACCGAAAGCAACAAGAAGAGTGACTCCCAATTCTATGCCCTGGGTTGAGCTCCATTTTGGACATGGGATGAATCACTGAACATCATCAGCTTCTGCTCCCATTTCCATTTCCACCAGAATTCTCAGGGGAAGGCGTGGTGGACGGGTGGGAATCATGAACAGAAGAAGCTCCTGCGAGGCTATGCAGGTGCCGTTTGTGCAAAAATAATAATCTGTCTGCACTCTTTCCACTTTTCCCCTCTGGGAAGACGGGCGCTGTACATTGTGACCTTCTTGCTGTTCCCCATCAATGTGCTCGTGGGGGTCTTGGCAGGAGTCTGGAGGATGGTGGGATCTGCACTGTACAATGTCGTCCACTTCTGCCGGCTGGATGTGAGCATGCTAGGCCACGGCGTGGAAGTCTTTGATCCAGGTCAGCGGAATGCAAGTGGTTTGATCCCCTTTCTGTTTTCCTCATCTGCTTTCTTTCCTTCTGTCCTGCATTGCATGCTCTTTCTGGCTGTATGTACCTAATTCAGGAAGTTGAGATTGGCTGCGGAAGCTCACTTACAACAACACACTTTGCACTTTAAAATACAGATTGGATGGATTTCCCCTTCATCCCTGAGGGCACTTGCAGACTTTCAAGATAGGATTCACTCATGTGCTGGCAATACAGTCATACCTTGGGTTACAGACGCTTCAGGTTGCGTTTTTTCGGGTTATGGACCCGCCGAAACCTGGAAGTACCAGAATGGGTTACTTCCGAGTTTCGGGGATCGTGCATGCACAGAAGCACTAAATCGCACTTTGCACATGCGCAGAAGCACCGAATCGCAACCCGTGCATGCACAGACGCGCCGTTGCGGGTTGTGAACGTGCATCCCGCACGGATCACATTTGCAACCCGAGCGTCCGCTGTATTGCATTGCACAATTAAAGTTTATTTGGCAGTCCTGCACAATAAGACCCGCCTCCACCCCCTGACTTAAAAAATCGTGTTATTAAATGTAAAATCAAGCATAAGCAATATCACAGAAAATGAGTTAGAAATATTGAAAACCTTTCTTTCCTTCTGTCCTGATCTTGGGGTTGCCTGGAACAGTCTTTTGCAGCAAACAAAGGCACCTGGTCAACAGGAATGTTTTCAACTGTTTGGTCTTCCCCCTGCCCCTTCCTCCTCTTCCCCCTCCAGGCTACCGGACGTATTGCCATTACTTGAAGATTGAGGTCAGCCAATCGCACCCTGTGATGAAAGCCTTCTGCTTCCTGCTCCTCCAGGTGTGCACAAAGGGATCCCAGCCAAGAGATGTGGAAGAAGGTGAGCACTCTCAGTCCTGGTCCCCCATCCAGCCTCAACATCACAAAATGGATGCAGATAACATCCAGCTTCTTGCTCACTCGCCCGCTTGCTCTGTCATTTGTGGCCAGTCAGGGAGATGATTTTCCTCCGTCATGTATGGAAAGATCACTTTTCTGTCTCTCTGTATAGATTCTCATGGGAAACACGGGGGGGGGGGGGCAGAGGGAGGAGCCAGCTGTGGGTTTGCTTCCTTGCTCCAAAGGCCTTCTGGTGAGTACAGGTGGGGAGGTCAGATCTGTGAAAGAACAAGTGACTTTGGCATCCACATTGTTTTTGTCTGATGCACCCACGCCCCAGAGGAGAGAAGCGCTGTGTTCAAATGATGCCCGATGTGGTGCATGAGCACTAGAGGGGCAGGGTAATTTATTTCTTTTAAAGCTTTGTTTATAACCAAGCATAAATATTTAAGGTTCCAAGGGTGTGTGATATTGTTCCATGCCAGCCCAATCTCTGAACTGAGTGAGCTTCCAGGGATATCAGGTGCGCTTACCTGTGATTCCTTGCAGATAATAAGGCACAGTGAAGACTGGTGTCTTTGTGATTAATAATAATAATAAATATTGTTTATTTACACATATATGCAACCTGAGCCTCGATGTAGGAGCTCCCAGCTAGGGCTGGGTGATATCTGCTTTTCAACATCATGATATATCTGCAGCTAGATATCATGATATACTGATATATCGCAATGTCTGAAATGTATCTTGGCTGCTGCTTCCTCCCCACTGCCCAGCCCTACAGCTGAGTGAGCCCCCATACTACTCCAGCCTGTGCCAGGAGGAGGGGCAGGGGCGATGCGTCCTCAAAGGTGCACACACCCAGGCAGACCGAGCCCAAGAAGGTGCTTACTCACAACCTACTCAGGCTCCATCCATCTGCCTGCCTCCGCCTTCACCTGATTAGGTAGGCTGTCTCTTTCCTCCTGGTCGGTCACTCCAGGAGTGACCAACCAGGAGGAAGAGGCAGCTGCCCGCCTGGGAAAAGGCAGAAGCGTAGACAGGCAGGCAGGCAGAGCCTGAGAAGGTTCTGGGCAAGCACCTTCTCGGGCTCCATCTGCCTGCCTGCCTTCCTACACCTTTGCGTTCAAGGGAAGAGTGAACACTTTTGAGATGGGATGTTTTTAAAGCAGCACTTAAGCTATAAATTTAAGGTTTGCAGAATGAAGGCTTGATCCCTTCCACTGTGGCTAGCGACAATATATGGGAAACTAGGGCAGATTTGCCCCTCCTTAGCTGAGTGCAAGGTCCCCCCTCAATGGTGGAATGGCCCTTGAGACTCCCTCTGGACTCCCCAGGGAAAGTGTGTGGGGGTTCCTGGATCTTCACAGTGGCCCTTTTGTTGGCAGGAGTCAAGCTCATGAAGACCAGGGCGTGTTCATCGAAAGGGTCCAAGGGCAAGCGCAGCCGTGCGCGGTGGTTCTTGGCCTACACCTTGCTCAACAACCCCTCCCTCCTGCCTTACCGAAAGGGGGCTCTCTCGGACTCCACCGCCAACGGGATGCAGGCCAACCCGGCAAAACCTTAGCCACCCAGGACAAAGCTTCTTGGAAATGATGGACTCCACCAGTTGAGAAGAATGAATCCCCTGTGACTTCTTCACCACCCCAATCCCTGTGTTGTCCTTCTCCCATGCGCTCCATGTGCCTCTCCCGTAGTCTCCTCAAGAGGCTGCAGCCTACTTGCCCTGAGGCTACAGCCTTTCCTTCCAGGGCCAAAGATGGGACAGAAGTGGTGTTGGCTCAGAGTGGGGGCAAGCGGTCAGCCGAGCTGACCCAAAGATGTTGCTCGTCTGATGGCCCTCCCAGTTCTTCCTGGGCATCTTTCTCCCATGGACAAATGAGTGTGCAGCTCCTAAATGCGGGGGGGGGGGCACGTTAAATGTTTCATAGAACCATAGAATTGTAGAGTTTGAAGGAATGCAGGAATCTCAGTTAAAGCATCCATGACAGATGACCATCCAACCTCTGCTTAACCTCCAATGAAGGAAAGTCCACCACCTCCCAAGGGAGACCATTCCACTGTTGAACAGCTCTTACTGTCAGAAAGTTCTTCCTGGTGTTTAGTCAGAATCTCCTTTCTTGTAACTTGAATCCATTGGTTCGAATCCTACCCTCCAGAGCAGGAGAAAGCAAGATTGCTCCAACTTCCATGTGACAGGCCTTGAGATATTTGAAGATGGCTATCATATCTCCAGTCTCCTCTTTTCCAAGCTAAAAATACCCAGCTCCTCATAAGGTTTGTTTTCCACACCCTCGATCATCTTGGTTGCCCTCCTCTGCATACGTTCCAGGTTGTCAACATCCTTCTTAAATTGTGGTGCACAGAATTGGACACAGCTTTTCACTCTCCAAGATGATGTCTTCGAGGGGATTGTCAGATATCCTCCTAAGGTTCCCCTGCAAATCTTTCTGCTTACTAATCCCCTGCTCTCGAGGAAGGCAATGTGCTGTTATTTACTCTGCACCCCCCCTGGTGCCGTTGCCTCCCCTTCTATTCTCCTTGAGGACTAATCACTTCTCACCCTTTTCGTAAAGCCACTCCTCAGGCCTTGTGTCGTGGAAGCTGGCAAGGTCAACTCCCAGAGCCTGCTAAGGTAGGACAGATCATAGTATAAAGAGAGTTGGACTCTCTGGTAAGAACAATAAACAAAATTTCATGGTTACACTCCGGTGAAGGCCTGGTTTGTCTATCGCTGTTTGTGCGTTCCTTCCTGGTGAGGCTGGTTCTGAAATTCAATTTATGGGCAAATAGGCTGGATCCACACATCTACGGCCAATGTGCAGATCAGATGGGGAAGAAATTCGATTTAGTTTGCAGTTCCAGGTAAACCTACCAAATTCATACTTGGGTACAAAACTGAAAGGCAGCCCTCCTTCAGAAGCAGCACTTTCTCCAAATTTTGCAATGCAATTCGCCAACAGAGTAATGTGTACAAAAGTGAGTATACAATGGGGGAAGTGTGTGTCAGAACCTACACATAATGGAAATTGCATTCAAACATCCGGTATATTAGGGGAAATTACTTTGCAAAAAAATTGTATATTAGGGGAAATTGCATATAAAAACATGTATAGTAGGAGAAATTCATGCAACAGTGCAGATGGATTTTCATGAGGGTTTTTAAAAAGAAACATTGCAAAGTGAGATGTGGAACGTGGAGAACAGAGCTTAAGAGTGGGAAAAGGAGAAACTGAGAAAAACTGAAATTGTCAGGTTAGCCCTAGATTTTGGAATTTTGTAATACAGTCTGTAGCATAAAAATTAACAGTATGTGTTCCAAATGCATCCTTTAGGATAATTTAGAAATATGCATATTGAAATAAAATGTGTGTTTAATTAACATATTTTGTGATGAAAATATATACCTATCTAGTCTGTCCATGGATGGCATATCCAGCGGAATAAGTATTTAAATGCATCCATCCTCCATGTGAGCATTCATGGTGAGGCAAATGGTAGGTGATCCTAATGACATGACCTCGACCATATTCCCATCATCATCATCAGTTTATTCAATCCTATATCCAGAGATGAAACCAAAGCTACTACTCAAGGTCATTAATTTGGGTTCGGTTGTGTAGCCTTTTCCATAAAACAATCCACAATTAAAAGAATTAAAAGGGATATATCAAGTGTTGTGGGGAGGTCATGTCGCGCTCCTTCTGGGGTAATTGTCCACCTTTGGTCCCCACCCTGCACACAGCTCTCCCCTATGGCTCCTAGAAGCTGTTCGCAGGCAACAGCGGCCACTATCCCAGGAGCAGCTTTGACTGGCCAGCTAAACCAGGTGAAGTCATCCAATGGGTCTCAAACCCTTGGTGACTTAGGGACTTCCCCTGCATGCGAAGACAGGCTCTGGCGCATTGAGCAGACAAAGCCAAGAATGGGTCCTATGGTCAAGAAGGTGGTTTTTGCCTGTGCTGTAGAGGGAAGTGAGGGTCAGATGGGGCTCATCAACCTGGGAAGGTGGTCTACCTAGGAGAAGGAAAATTCTGGTGCTGAAACTCCGCTGCCTTGCGGAATATCTTCAGGAAAAGAAAAGGCTCATGAGTAAACCCTAGACAAATCCAGAGTCCCCAATACAATTGGGTGGCACCTTGTACACCTCCTTCCAGCAACTCCTGCAGCCAAGCTGGTGCCAAATATATTGATCTGCTATCCTTTGGACCACATCAGTGAGGCCAAGAGGGAGGTCCCATCATCTGGCCAGCCCAGGCCCAGGACCTCCATACACCACCCAGCCTTGTGCCCCAAAGAGGTCACTGGCAACGTAGTGGCTTGCCTTCAGCCCCGCACTCTATTGTCTCTCGAGACAGACGGCTGCCAACGTAAGGAAGCAGGAAAGTGAATTGGGCCCATTTGCCCTGAATTCAGTTTTATGGGATGTCCTTGAGTTCTGGTGTTATGAGAGAGAGAGGAAAATCTCTTCCCTATCCACATTCTCTATGCCATGCTTAATTTTCTAAACTTCTGTTGTATCGCCTCTTCCTCACCTTTTCTGTAAGAAGTCGCAATCGCTGCAACCATTCCTCACAGGGGAGTCGCTCCCTCCTCTTGATGGTTTGGGTGATCATTTTAGACTCCAGCTGGGGCTTTGCTCTGCTGCTTAATTGGCTGCTGGTTAATCCACCCGTTCCAGGATGATGCCTGAGCAGTGAGTGGAGCTGTACATTTGGCCAGGTTCCATGTTTATGAATATGATGCAGCCTTGATATTGCCAATAACCAGAATTGTGATGCAACCAGCACCTGTCAGCCGCTGAGCAATTTACCTTGTTGTGACAAAACAAACATACTCAATCCAAATGGTTTGCTTTGCTGCCAAAGGGAATAGAATATTCGGCAGATTTACCATCTCTCCTCAAAGAATGACAGCTATCACCTGATTATAAAGAATCCTTAAGTTGATTAGGCTTCACTCTATTTAATCAAGCAATTAAATCTGCATGAATTTGCTTTAAGCTGCACGATTTAGCTTTGAACAAAAAGCCAAAACACATTGGTTTTAGATATTCTGTGTATGCAGCCAACAACTGCGAATTGTCTTAGAGGCAATTCTTCCTGCAGTGGTGGAGTGTATGTCAATGCCGCCCAGGGGCAGGCAGGATGCCCACTCTCCTCACTGCCAGAGCTGCCAGGCCGGGCGCAAGCATGCCACAGCCTCTCTCTGCCCCCAGGTCAGCTTTGGCCCGGGGGTGGAGCCACTGCTGGCGACATTGGGCCATTGCACGAAAAAGCCGTCTCTGCAGTTCCTTTGCATGCCAGAGCCAGGCTCCGACGAGGGAGCCTGTTGTGGGGGCAGCTAGTTGCACTCCCTGAAAAAAAATGTGCCCCCCAGCCCCCTCCCCACTACGCCACCACCTTCCTGAGAGTTGTTAGAAGCTACAATTCCCAGTACGCTTAACAAACTACAGCTCCCATGGTTTTGGGGTGAAAACCGTGACTGTTAAGTGATACAAGGCAGCCGCTGATTCCTTAACATTCCGAATTTGTCATCTTATCTCTGGTACCCTTTTTTGAGGGGGCTGTTTATCTAGACATTATGACTGGGGCAGCTGGTGTTTTATCACTGCTTTGAGAGAGTGTGTGCGCACGCGTGTGTTTTAAGGGATATTATATTTGTTTCAGCTGCCTTATGAGGACTCAAAGGTGGCCTGGAAATGTCTGAAGAAATAGATAACCCTCAGCGCCATTCTCTACAGCAGGGATGCAGAAACCTGTGGCCGTCCAGACACGGTTGGACTCCGACTCCCATCAGCCCCAGCCAGAAAGCCCAAAGGCCAGGGGTGGCGGGAGTTGGAGTCTAGGAGCGCCTGGGGAGTGGGCACCATGTTGAGGAAGCCTATTGTTCCAACATGCCTAGCAATTCTCCAGATCTCACGCATGGGTCTCTTCCAGCCAGGCCAGGATACTTCCTAAGCTGCGGAAGGATACTTTTAAACTCAGGGTAGAGAACCTCTGGCCCTCCTGGCGTTTAGGGACTGCAGCTCCCATAATCCAGGGGCAAAACTAGGCTTTATTTCACCAGTTTGGCACACCCATGTGCATTTGTGTACACATTCACACAGGCTGGTGATCCTCTGGAGGCTTCACTTGGGGCAAAAACCCACCCCAGTACCATAATCCCTAACCTTTGGCTGTTTGGAGGACATCACATTCAGGATCACATTCATCCAGTGCTTTACCAACTGCACTGTCTCCCAGTGGAGTACAGGGTCAGGTTTAAGGTGCTGGTTTTGACCTTTAAAGCCCTATGTGGCCTAGGACCCACGTACCTATGGGACCGCCTCTCCTGGTACGCCCCGCGGAGGACCTTACCACAAATGACAACACTTTGGAGGTCCCAAGTCACAAGGTGGTTAGATTGGTCTCAGCTAGGGCCAGGGCCTTTTCAGTACTGGCCCCGACTTGGTGGAACGCTCTGTCACAAGAGACTAGGGCCCTGCGGGACTTGACATCTCTCCGCAGGGCCTGCAGGACGGAGCTGTTCCGCCTGGCCTTTGGTTTGGACTCAGTCTGACCCTTATGTTTCCCATCGCTTACAGTTTTGATCTATGGGCTACTTTTAAAACGAGGCTGCATTTTAAATTGCATTCTAACCTGTATTTTAAATTGGTGGGTTTTTTTCTATTATGTTTTTATTGTAATTTTACTGGTGTGAGCCACCCTGAGCCCGGCCCTGGCCGGGGAGGGCAGGGTATAAATAAAAATTTTTATTATTATTATATGAACTTTAGTAGAGCCTGCTGCATCAGGCCAATGGCCCACCTAGTCCAACATCCTGTCCTCACAGGGGCCAGGAGCTCTCTCCTCCTCCATGAATTTGTCTAATCCTCTTTTAAAGCCATCCAGGTTGTGGCAATCCAAGTCCCCTGCAGCAAGGCGTTCCACAGTTTAACTCTGCACTGTGTGAAGAAGGGCCTTTTTTTATCCATCCTGAATCTTCCAACATTCAGCTTCACTGGATATCTATGAGTTCTAGCAATATAAGAGGGAGGAAAACATTTCTCTATCCACTTTCTCCAGGCCATGAATAAGTTTATACATTTCTATCACATTACCTCTTACTTGTCTTTTCTGTGCCATGTTAGGGAAGTCCAGCAGAAGGCAAAGTCCTATATCCTTCTCATTAAAAGGTAAAGGGACCCTTGACCATTAATTACGGTAGGTCCAGTCGTGGCCGACTCTAGGGTTGCAGCGTTCATCTCGCTTGATTGGCCGAGGGAGCCGGCGTACAGCTTCCAGGTCATGTGGCCAGCATGACTAAGCCACTTCTGGTGAACCAGAGCAGCACACGGAAACGCTGTTTACCTTCCCGCCTGAGCGGTACCTATTTATCTACTTGCACTTTGATGTGCTTTCGAACTGCTAGGTTGGCAGGAGCAGGGACCAAGCAATGGGAGCTCACCCTGTTGCGGGGATTCGAACCGCTGACCTTCTGATCGGCAAGTCCTACACTCTGTGGCTTAACCCACAGCGCCACCCACGTCCCATATCCTTCTCATTACTCACTGTATAAAAACCAAACCACAATTCTAACCATTGCACAGAAGAGTGGCCATGCCTGCAGGGTTTTTATAAATGCAAATAGCATCCGTGCAGGAGAGGAGGGACTGATGTTATATCAGAATAAGGAATGGGTAAGGAATTTAACCTTTTCCTCCCCCTGAATTTAATGCCTGCCCTGGAGGTGCTATTTGCATTGGCAGGGAATCTCCTCTGGAGACCCAGGGGACACACACAGAGAGAGAGAGAGAGAGAGAGAGAGAGAGAGTGAGTGAGAGAGAGAGAGCGCAAATGCCAGCTTCAGAACAGGGACTTTTCTGAGGGCCATAGCAGGGAAGAAAATGGTTACATCTCTCTATACCTGTGCTCTGATCCCATTAAATTTCAGTCCCACTTTGATACATGTTGTACTGAAACACACACACAAATGTTAAATGAAAAGATGCATTTAATGTTCTGTCTTGTTCGGCCTTTCAGTGGTGATGCAGAAGACAGATTTCGTTGAATATGTAAAGTGTGGTTAGTCATAGCTGGAATAAACTGCAATCTTGCCTTCTCTTTTGCAAATGTTAAGCAGAATGACTGGAAATATGGTGAGCCTCTCTTTGAAAATGTTAGACTCTTGTTTGTGAACACAGCATTGACTACAATGAAGATCAGGATTTATCCCTCACCCTTTGCTGGTCACAGCAGTTAAACATACACTTTAGGGGGTGAGTTTAAAACTAATTACAGTTATGAGACTAAAATGGAAGAAATCAAGTCCTTCCCACAAAGACTAAATGTTTACTACAAACTCAATCACTTTTCCTACTGCAATGCCATGGCTTCCTTCTAAGCTGCAGAGGATTCTGTGTTAGTGGACTCCAATCCGTACATGGGGAACTACAGTTCTCAAGGTTTCCTGGAAAGGAGGAATGACTATTAGGCTGATTTAACTTTGGCAGCTCTGCTTTGCAACCAGTGGTGTAGTGCTACATAGTGGTTAGAGTGTTGGAGCAGGACCTGACAGAGGCCAAGTTTCAAACTCTTACTTGGCCATTAACGTCACTGCCTCTCAGCCTAACCTACCTCACAGGGATGTTGTTGTTGTAGGGATAAAATGGGCCGGGGGAGAACTAACTACCTTGAGTTCCTGGGAGAAACAGGTGGGATATAAATGCAATAAATAATATCTCAGCCTCGCACTACATTCCTACGCATGATACCAGGCTGCACGTGTCTCAGCCATAAAGAGTGAGCAGCGGAAGCAGAAGGACGCCAGCCCAGGCCTGTGGCTTCCACAGGGTCGCTCCCTCATTGCTGGTCATCGGCACCACAGGTGTAAGGTAGATCACCACGAACTTGTCTTCCGATTTGGGGGACTCCTCTTTCTCACAAGGTTCAGTCTGGGGCTTGCTGGCTTGGATGTTGTTCCGGGTGATGTCCCCAGCAGGATTCTTCGAACCGGCCAAGGCCACGTTGACCGAGGCCTCCCGAGATCCCACATCATTCAAGGCCTGGCAGGTGTAGATACCCTCGTCAGCCTTGCTGAACTCAGGGATGGCCATCGAGCCGTTCTTGAAGACCAGGATGCGCTGCTCCAAGCTCCCAGCAGCCAGCCAGTTGCCCCCTTCTCCCATGTTTGGTCCATTGATCACCACCTCCCGAGTGGAGGTCTGGATTTTCCACTGGATCTCCGGCGGCGGCCTTCCCACCGCACTGCAGTGCAACCGGAGAGTAAGCTCATCGTGCAGCACGCTGTTGCCCAAGCTGGAGTGGTATGCTAACTGGATGGAAGGAAGCATGCAGTCCAGCTTCAAGGCTCTCCCAAGGATGAAGCCCTTCAGGTTGTCTGGGGCAGCACAAGTGATGGAGTCCCTCTCTGGGATGGACACTGGAGTCTCCTCCAGCCACCTCTTCAGTCCCCAGACCTTGCAGGAGCAGTTGAAGGGGTTGTGGTTGATCTGCAACTGGGACAGGAGGGGCAGGGAGCTGAAGGTCCCTCCGGCGAGGACAGAGATCCTGTTGTCATTCAGCCAGAGGGATCTCAGATCCCTGAGGGTGCGGAAGGCCTCTGGGGGGACTCTCTCCAGCCGGTTGCTGCTGAGCTTCAGCTGCTGCAAGGCAGTGAGGTTGACCAGGTCTCCCCAGGGGAAGACGGCAATCCGGTTGTGGCTGAGATCAATGGCCCTCAGCTGCACCAGGGAGGCAAAGGTGCCCTGGGCAACAGCGCTGATCTCATTGTGCGACAGCCACAGGGCCTGCAGGTCGAGAACATCCGCAAAGGAGCCTTCCTGCAGGGAGGAGATGTGGTTGACGGACAAGGTGAGAGTAGTTGCATTGAAGGGCAGGCCAAGGGGAACGGCCCGGAGGTCTCTGTAGGAGCAGTCGGCGATGTGGCGGCCATATTTCTTCTTGGCTACACAGTTGCAGATCTCGGGGCAGCTTTGAGTCTCCACCAAGAGCAGAGCAGTGAAAAAGCAGAACCATGGACCCATTGCTTCTCCCCATTCAGCTGCAGGAAAGAAATAAAGAAAGACAGGAAATTATTGCCTTGCAAACCACTTGTTTCCTGTTGCTACCCACTGATTATCAGCCTGTGCTGATGTGTAGGCAGATCTCTTCGCCAGTGGCTCTGGTGTTGCTAAATGCCCTCCCTGATTAAATGTGAGAGGCCCCATCTACACTGGCATTCCCACGGCTTTTCAATATGCCCCTGTTGACACAGGTAGGCCCTTGAATCTCTTAACCTACATCTGCTGCTATAAATGCTATGGCCTTTTTATGGGGTTGTTTTATGGCATACTTTACTTCCGGGTTTTAACATCTACTGGATTGTTTCAGTGTGGATTTAATTTATGTTCATTTGCATCTTATTGCTTGTGTAATTTGCAGATGTGCATGTATGAGCTGAGGGACGTGGGTGGCGCTGTGGTCTAAACCACAGAGCCTAGGGCTTGCCAATGAGAAGGTCGGCGGTTCAAATCCCCGCGACAGGGTGAGCTCGCGTTGCTCGGTCCCAGCTCCTGCCAACCTAGCAGTTCAAAAGTATGTCAAAGTGTAAGCAGATAAATAGGTACCGCTCTGGCGGGAAGGTAAACAGTGTTTCCGTGCGCTGCTCTGGTTCGCCAGAAGCGGCTAAGTCATGCTGGCCACATGACCCGAAAGGTCTCTGCAGACAAACGTCGGCTCCGTCGGCCAATAAAGCGAGATGAGCGCCGCAACCCCACAGTCGTCCACAACTGGACTTAACAGTCAGGTGTCCCTTTACCTTTTATGTAAGAGCGAGCCCCATTTCAGTATCTAAACCATTTCAGCCCGGGTCCAGGCCTGGATTTGACAAAGAACCCTGATGAACTGGATATTGGGGGCTTGATTGCAATAGTTCTGCTTCTATTTGGGGGGTTCCTCCCCCAAGAGAGGAGCATTGAGGGACTTCTGCTCAGCCCTATGCAGTCACTGCAACGCAGGGCCCCCAACTCCAACCCATGGAGCCACTCAAGCAAGAACCTTCTCCCACAGAGGTCATCCGCCAGAGGGACCAAGGCTCCTTAGGTGCCAGGCCTGGACCCAGATTGCAATAGGTCTAGGTCAGTGAGTCTCAAAGGGAGTGGTACTGTCCCCTGGGATTGCCTAGGGGGGTGCCAAGAGATAAGGGGGTGGCAGGGGGCCGCTGGAGGAGTAAATGACTATCAAACTTTGAAAGCTGGTCTCACTGGATCAAGTTCATCCATTTTGTTGAATTAATTAAACTAAATGGTTTTAATTGGATTTTTGAATGAATGTACAATTAACTTGCAACTGCTTTGAATTTTCATGTGTTATTATCTTCCTCAATGGGTTGTGCAAAGTGAATCATGCTTTTTATAGAATAGGAGGCACTGGGGACGGATTACTAGAACCAGGCAGCCAGGCAAGATAGCTTCCTTTTATCTAAAATCTCCTTCCTTGGAGGTTTTACAGCAGAGGTTGGGTGGCTGAGATTCCTGCATTGTAGGGGGTTGGACTAGATGACCCGTGGGGTCCCTTCCAACTCTGCAATTCTATAGTTTCAGTCTAGTCTCCCAAAACATCCTACATATCCTTGACAAGATGTCCTTTACAGCTAATACGACAGGCTACTGTGAAGTTCTGTGAAGATGTTGTCTTCCTGAAAGATGACCACATTTCTAAAAGAGGAAGAAAAGTCTCATTGACCGAAGTCAAGGCATCACGCCACACCAGCTTTCCAGTCAATTCCTGATCTCACTTTCCCCAGGGTAAGTGAACTCATGCGCACGAGTTCATCCCAATACATGGAGCTGGAGCTGGAGCAAGCAGTCAGCAGGGCAGGATCTTGCCCTGAAGTTCCACCCTCCATTTTGTGGATGAGCATTGCAGCTGTGCACAGAGTATTCTTGGCCGCAGCAGGGAGGCAACCATATTCTGGAGCCGACTCCCACTGTTGTCTTGAAATTACATTGCCACTCCTGGAATAGGATTGCTTTCTGCCGGCTGTGAGAAGGCAGCAGGTGCATATCTAGCAACCAAACACACATACCGCCAACGTCGCAAAGCTAGACTACTGCAATTCCCTTTTATGGGGCTGCCCTGGTTGTCAGTTCAGAAGCTCCCGCCTGACTTAGAGCACACGGCGTCAGAGTGTCCAGTGTCTGCACTGCCCCTGCTTCCTTTCAGGCTCAGTTCATGGTTGGCAACCTATAAAGGCCGAAATGGTGGGTCTCTAGCAGCTGACCCAAGAGGCTGGGTGCTGCTGGCGCTGGGTCTGGGCTGGATGTTTTGTTAAAGTTGATCAAAGGCTGCTGTGGGGCTAGAATAAACTTTATGCAAGGCAGTAACCCAGGGGTAGGCAACCTAAGGCCTAGGGGCCGGATGCAGCCCAATCGCCTTCTCAATCCGGCCCACGGACGGTCCGGGAATCAGCGTGTTTTTACATAAATAGAATGTGTCCTTTTATTTAAAATGCATCTCTGGGTTATTTGTGGGGCATAGGAATTCATTCATTTTTTTGAACTGTCAGACCAATATTTATGTGTGCAACTATGGCGGCAAAGGTATTGATTGCCAAAAACTGGAAAAGCAGCAGCATCCCAACTAAAACATACTGGTTATCTAAAATGATGGAATACTTCCATATTGCCGAACTAACGGGGAGTATAAGAGGAGATATGGTACAAAAAGTGAATAAGGAGTGGGCTATTTTTAAGGAATACATCAAAATTGATGTGGAAAAAGTAGAATTTCTGACAGATACTGAATGAATCCAGAAAATGATTAGAGTGAAAGGAGAGTAAAGTTAAGATAGAAGAAGAGATTAAATAAATAATTAAATGTGTTTGAGCTAGTTGGAAAAATAAAGTAGCGTAACAAGAATGGCTGGAAGTCAAGTCACTTGGTGGGTGTCCGTGTGGGGTAGGTGTGTAGATATGTTGATATGTATAGTATAGGTAGGTATTATATAGAGGAATGTAGGTATGTTTTATATTATGAAAATAAGGTAGTGTGTTGTGTACGTGTGTTGTGTAAATGTATATGTATGTGGGACACGGGTGGCGCTGTGGGTTAAACCACAGAGCCTAGGACTTGCCGATCAGAAGGTCGGCGGTTCGAATCCCTGCGATGGGGTGAGCTCCTGTTGCTCGGTCCCTGCTCCTGCCAACCTAGCAGTTTGAAAGCACATCAAAGTGCAAGTAGATAAATAGGTACTGCTCCGGTGGGAAGGTAAACGGCGTTTCCGTGCGCTGCTCTGGTTCGCCAGAAGCGGCTTAGTCATGCTGGCCACATGACCTGGAAGCTGTACGCCGGCTCCCTCGGCCAATAAAGCGAGATGAGCGCTGCAACCCCAGAGTCGGCCACGACTGGACCTAATGGTCAGGGGTCCCTTTACCTTTACCTTTATATGTTTGTGTTTTATATGTTAATAAAAAATAAATTAAAAAAAGGAATTTGTTCATTTCCACCCCGCCAAAAAAATATATAGTCCGGCCCCCCACATGGTCTGAGGGACAGTGGACCGGCCCACAGCTGAAAAAGGTTGCTGACCCCTGCAGTAACCTCAACTAACGTTTTCTGCTGCTGGAACACATAGTGACTGCTAGCATGGCAGGGCTTTTGGGGCAGCAGCCTGTGTCTTGCACAAAAAGGATCCCAGCTCCAATACCCAACACCTCCAGTTGAATGAAAGAGGTAGCAGATGAGGGGAAGCCTCTCTTGATTGACCCAAACCCAAATCTTGATTCAAGTTACAAGAAATGCGACTCCGACGAAACGTCAGGAAGAACTTTCTGACAGTTAAGAGCAGTTTCACAGTCGGAGGACTCCCTCAGGTGATGGTGGACTCTCCTTCCTTGGAGGTGTATAAGCAGAGGTTGGAGGGCCATCTCTCTTGGACATTTTAGTTGAGATTCCTGCATTGCAGGGGGGCTGGACTAGATGGCCATTGGATGCACCTTCCAACTCTGCAATTCTATGGTTGTTTGCTCCTATGAGACCCTGGACAGCTCCTTCCAGAGTAGGCAGTGCTAGGCTAGAGAGATAAACACCCTGTTGTGTAGATGAAATATCACGGCTGGCCATTTTCTACAGATCCTTAGGCAGGAAGCTGCCTTTGACTGAGTCCATCCAGCCCAGTATTGTCTACACTGACTGGCAGCATGCAGGGTCCTCTCTCAGCCCTACGTAGGCAGGTCAGTGGGTGTTATGGACTGGCTGGATTCAGAGGGCTGGTGGGAGGCACCAGCTGGGGAACCCCCAAGGGAAGAAGGCTCAGAGCCCAGGGAGTGGCAGTGGGAAGACAATGAGTGGTCAGAGGGAGAAGAGGGGGCAGACGGGGAGGAGGAAATGTCAGACGCTGGAGAGGTAACAGGCCTTAGTGAGCTGGGGGAGTCTGTGGCAGAGAGCAGTCCAGAATCAGATCTGCCAGGAAGAGTTGCTGTGCTCACTAGGCATGGCCCCCTGAGCTGTTTATTTCTTAACCGCCCTGAGACCCTGCAAGTACAGTGGTACCTCAGGTTACAGACACTTCAAGTTACATACGCTTCAGGTTACAGACTCCGCTAACCCAGAAATAGTACCTCGGGTTAAGAACTTTGCTTCAGGATGAGAACAGAAATCTCACAGCAACGGTGCAGCGGCAGCGGGAGGCCCCATTAGCTAAAGTGGTACCTCAGGTTAAGAACGGTTTCAGGTTAAGAACAGACCTCCAGAATGAATTAAGTTCTTAACCCGAGGTATCACTGTATAGGGCGGCATATAAATTCAATAAATAAATATTTCACATGGCATCAGTAAAGTTAACTTGCTCAAAGAAATATTTATTTCTTTATTGAATTTATATATTATACTAACCTGCTCCTGGCACACACACCCAGACTCTTGAACCCGGGACCGTCTGCATGCAAAGCAGCTGCTCTGCCCCTGTCAACTTGTCAATCACTGCTGTGCACAGAGAGGGCAGACCGTTCTCTCGTCTGGCTACTCCAGAAAATGCCTGGTCAGGTCAGGGTTTTGTATTCTGTGGCCGTCACCACCTTCCCTGCTAAGGCCTTTCTAGGGGGAAATAACAACCATAGACCATACAAACATCAGATGAGCCCATTTCCTCCTCCCTGTCTGCCCCCCTCTTCTCCCTCTGAGCACTCATTGTCTTCCCACAGCCACTCCCTGGGCTCTGCTGGATCCGGCCAGCAGCCCATCTAGTCCAGCATCATGTCCTCACAGTGATCAAACCAGATGGCCCTGTAGGAAACCTGCAGTTTCCCGTGACTGGCATTCAGAAACATCACTGCCTCCTGGCCTCGTCTTCTTATGAAGCCATGTGGATTGGTGCCCACACATTTTGTCTGGCCTGAGAAATTTTTCTGCCTAGAATTGTAGGGCTGAAGGGACCCCAAGGGTTATCTAACCCACATACCCCCCTGAAACGGAAGAAGCCAGCACACACATACTCACTGGTTCCATGTACAGAATCCAGCTGGAGGGGTGGCTGGTTTTTATTCTGGCTCCACCAACTCTGGGAGCTGCAGACTAGCTTAGGGGGCTACAGGACAGCCTGCATGACCCTTGCACAGCTCTGTCCGCCAGTCCCTTCCTGCTGCCCCCCTACTTTAGCACCTGAAGCAGCCTCATCTCCCTGCCTAACAGGAGGGCCGGCCCTTTCTCTCTTTCTTTGGCCTTCGCTATATCACAGGCCCAGATGCATAGCAAACGCTTTCAGGGAGCGGAGGCAGGGAGACAAGGACTGGCTGCAGAATCAGAAGGGGCATCAGATTGGGATCAGCAAAGCTCAAATATATTCTTTTTTTAAAAAACGCTCCTGAAAAGATAAGGGATGAAAGTTCTCTTTTCGTTACCTCTTTTTCCGCGTGACTCTCCTCCTTTCTTCACGCGAGGGTTTCAGCCAGAAAACTGTGTAAACATTGTGTCGGGTCCTGACAGACTCATGCATTCCAAAAATGTTATTAATAAAGGCAAAGTCCAGCCTCCGACGCTCAGGGAGCCAGAAAAGTGGTTTTGATTTGTCACAGGCCTCGAAAAAAGAAAAAAAATCCCTCTCTTTTTGTTTTGTTTTGTTTTTTTCATTTTTGCTTTGGTTTTGTCCTGAAACGGACCCTAATTCCTGACACATTTACTGAATTAGAAACTGCCCATCTTCTGTTTTGAGGAGGGGGTTGCACTGGATCAAGACCCCAACCCTTGCCTCTGCCAGAAACCTCACAAAAGTCCGTTGATTTAATTTCCTCCCCCTTTGATTATGTGTTTTCAAGAGACCTGGGAATACATTTTTTATGAGTAGCAAAGACCTGCCTCTCTAAAACAACAGCCTACACTTAATAAAAACAGTGGTGTTTTCCCCAAACTTCCTTATCCCTCCCTTCTTGGCTTGGGTTCTGCCGGCTTCTTAAAGAGACAGCCAATGGCAACACACAGAGTGCAGTTAGGATGAGTAAAAGCTACTGTAGGTTTCTTGGTTTTGAAAAATGCACACCAAGAAATGTAAAGCTGGGATGGGTTTGGAAATGCATGCTTCAGGCAGGTGTGCTCTTCAGGTAAGAGCCACAATAGGCTGCAGCATCCTGCCCTGAGCTTTCTGCTGCACATGACATGCAAGGGTACTTGGTTCCATTTTACAGCCATTACCACTGAGGCTTGGCTGGAGCTCACTCTAGGAGCCTACGGCTAAACAAAAGCATGGGCCAGTAGTGGTTAGAGTGATGGGCTAGGATATGAGAGACCAGAATTCAAATCCCCATTCAGCCAAGAAATTTACTGGGTGACCTTTGGCAGGTCACTCAAGCTACCTCACAAGGTTGCAAGGGAAGAAATATGTGTGTCACCTTGAGTTCATTGGAAGAAAAGTTGGATATAAATGTAATCAGTCAATCATCCCAAAGGCAGAGCTGATTTCTTGCTTTAACACTGCATTCCTATAAATATTTTCATGGAAATAAGTTCCATTGAACTCAACAGGGCTTACTTCTGAGTAGACGTTATTGGACTGCAGTGTTACACTTTCAACCAGAGGCTTCAGTCTGCAGCTTGTTCCAAATCCATGGCGGGTTTTCGTTTCACCTTCTCTCTCTCTTTTTCACTGCACAAACTCACTTAATAATTCACACATTCTCTGTCTCCTCCAGGCTGTGAAGAGCAGAGAGAAAGAGTAAAACGGTGATTGTTTTTCTCCCCAGTGAATAACTGATGAAGCAAGACCCTGTTAAAAGCACATTCCTGAACACACTTCTCCTTGGCTGCGAAGTCCTGTGGAGTTCAAGCAGCTTACTCCCGGGTAAATGGATACAGGACTGCAGCCTAAGATGCGCACCAGGGGCAGGCTTTGGGCCAAAGTCATTTCTCCTTCCAGCCGAAAATTTCTCCATAAGTATATGAAGAAGTCCATCCTGGTCTCCTTTGTTGTAAAATGGCTATTTTATTCTCTTCTGAAGATGCTTGCAAGGACAAGGGAGCGCTTTCAGATACGCCAGACTAAGGCCATTTTGGGCTTTAAAACCAGCCCAATCCTAGGCATACCTAAGAGTAAATACCATTGAACATAGTGGTACTTATTTTTGAGTAAAATGTATGGCAGCCATGGCATCCTGCCCAAGTCACACCCCTTGCCAGCCCTACTCTGCACCTTCCCCAAGCACTGTTGTCCGGATGGAATGTGCCTTCGAATTGCATCCATGCCTCTTGCCCTCCTGGAGGGAGGATGGTATGATGGCATGTATAAAAAACTCTGGCATTCATGTAGGGGAATGCAGCCTCCCATCGAAGGGTAAGCGTTGTGGGATGTGAAACACAAGAGCAGTCAACATTCCTAGAGTGAACATGTTTACACATGGGGAGGAATGTTTGTCCAGCCAGCAGGTAAACTTCCTGTTTCCTTCTGGGCCGGGACAGACTTCCTCTGCATGTGACTAGAGATGGGTGTGGCCTCACCTGTGCAGGTAAGGACAAAAGAGCAGGGCAGCAATCTCTCTCTCTTTGACTACATGCATCAAGAAGCAACATCTGCTTAGCCAAAGATGCCCTCTTGGCTTCCAGCCAAGAGAGGACAGAGGGACTGTTTCCTTATGAGATAAAGGTAAAGGGACCCCTGACCATTAGGTCCAGTCATGGCCAACTCTGGGGTTGTGGCGCTCATCTCGCTTTATTGGCCGAGAGAGCTGGCGTACAGCTTCCAGGTCATGTGGCCAGCATGGTGGTGATTTGAATGTGTGACTCCCCACTCCTAAGGGGCATCCACACCCCGCCTTTAAAGTTCATGGCTTCCCCTCAAAAAATCCTGGGAACTGTCGTTTGTTAAGTGTGCTAGGAATTGTAGCTACGTGAGGGTAAACCACAGTTCCCAAGATTCTTCTGAGGGGGTGTTTTGAATGTGCTTTAAACATACGGCGTGTGTACTGGAGACGGTCGGAGGATGGATGTCGGCTAACAGATTGAGGTTGAATCCAGACAAGACAGAAGTACTGTTTTGGGGGGACAGGGAGTGGGCAGATGTGGGGGACTCCCTGGTCCTGAATGGGGTAACTGTGCCCCTGAAGGACCAGGTGCGCAGTCTGGGAGTCATTTTGGACTCACAGCTGTCCATGGAGGCTCAGGTCAATTCTGTGTCCAGGGCGGCTGTCTCCCAGCTCCATCAGGTACGCAGGCTGAGACCCTACCTGCCCGCAGACTGTCTCGCCAGAGTGATGCATGCTCTGGTTATCTCCCGCTTGGACTACTGCGCTCTCCATGGGGCTACCTTTGAAGGTGACCCAGAAACTACAACTAATCCAGAATTTGGCAGATGCAGTAAGGTGCCCTTTCAAATCCCTCCTAAAAGAATAAAGATACCACAGTCTTATTCATAAGCAATAAAAAGAAAGTTTACTCGTGATCAGGCAGAGCACAGTGTGATTCCTGAAGGCAGGCTTTAGGCTTAAAGTTACAAACATGTACAGACAGGTTTACCCCATAAGGGAGATGTCCTGGGGGACTGCTTGGCTGGCAGCCAGCAGTTCATTCCAGGAAGTTCAGAGGGCGAAAGTAAGATGGAAAAAGAGAGAGAGTGGCAGCATGCCTTGGCCTTTTACCAGGTCTGGAAAGGTCACGCCCACCCACTAGTCACATGCAAGGAAGGATGCTCCAGGCCAGGAGGAACAGGAAGTTTTGACAGGCTGGACCAAGCATCCCCTTGCATGTCCACTCTAGGAAAACAAGGAATGTTGTATTTGACTGCTCCCAGTGGATTACATTCCACACTGAAAGACCTACATTGGCTCCCAGTATGTTTCCGAGTACAACTCAAAGTGTTGGTGCTGACCTTGAAATCCCTAAACGGCCTTGACCCTGTATACCTGAAGGAGCGTCTCCACCCCATTGTTCAGCCCAGACACTGAGGTCCAGTGCCAAGGGCCTTCTGGTGGTTCCCTCACTGCGAGAAGTGAAGTTACAGGGAACCAGGCTGAGGGCCTTCTTGGTAGTGGTGCCTGTGGAATGCCCTCCCATCAGATGATAAGGAAATAAACAATTACAGTGGTACCTCAGGTTACATACGCTTCAGGTTACAGACACTTCAGGTTACAGACTCCGCTAAACCAGAAATAATACCTTGGGTTAAGAACCATTACCCCGGCATTTCATTGGGAAGCTAGGCTGGATTATATTTTAACCCTTGCAAGGTCTAGGGGTTAAAAGGTCTGGCACCCACAAACTCATAGCAATATTTTGAAAAGAACTTTATAGAATGCCACATATCTCATGCTCTCGGATGGAATGTGAGCCCTGACAGAGCAAATGCCCCTGGAACTTCTCACCACTTGAGGAAGCGAGGGACATATGGCAGGTTTTGAACAAAGCACTCATGGTTGGCTTTTTCTTGCTCCCTCTGCCCAAGAGCTCTTGATTCAACTCCCAGGCCTGTCTGAGGGGGCCGCAGACAGCTTGGGGGGCACGATTGGCTGACCTCAATTATCTGAGCTTCGCAGGGGGAGAACAGAGAACTGGGGGGAGAGAGAAGGGAGAAGAGAAACCTTTGTAGGAACTGGTCAAATAGGAGCAGTGGTTTCTGTGTCTGCCTTTGCCCTGGACAACATTCTTAGATCTTTCCTTACCTGCCTACATTCGTACTCAACACCTGTCCTAAAGATACCACAGCCTCCGCCATGCCTCATTTCCAGATGGAAACACGGGCCCTGGGTGAGCACCTGTAACCCCTAGAATCTCACCCTGCTCAGAACTTGGGTTGGTGTGCAGCCACGTGCAAGTGGAGCAGAAGGGAAGGAAAACAAGGCAGATGAGAGAGAGCCGATTCCAAAGCTTACTGTATCCCATTGGGAGCTAGGTAAAGGTAAAGGTACCCCTGCCCGTACGGGCCAGTCATGTCCGACTCTAGGGTTGTGCGCCCATCTCACTTAAGAGGTGCGAGCCAGCACCATCGCAGCACACAGAAACGCCGTTTACCTTCCCGCTATAAAGCGGTACCTATTTATCTACTTGCACTTAGGGGTGCTTTCGAACTGCTAGGTGGGCAGGAGCTGGTTACCGAAGATGGGAGCTCACCCCGCCGCGGGGATTCGAACCGCCGACCATACGATCGGCAAGCCCTAGGCACTGAGGTTTTACCCACAGCGCCACCCGTGTCCCTATCATTGGGAGCTAGGTCACGTTTAAAGGTAAAGGTAAAGGGACCCCTGACCATTAGGTCCAGTCGTGGCCGACTCTGGGGTTGCGGCGCTCATCTCGTTTTATTGGCCGAGGGAGCCGGCGTACAGCTTCCGGATCATGTGGCCAGCATGACTAAGCCGCTTTTGGCGAACCAGAGCAGCGCACGAAAAACGCCGTTTATCTACTTGCCGTTTACCTATTTATCTACTTGCACTTTGACGTGCTTTTGAACTGCTAGGTTGGCAAGAGCAGGGACCGAGCAACGGGATCTCAGCCTGTCGCGGGGATTCGAACCGCCAACCTTCCGATCAGCAAGCCCTAGGCTCTGTGATTTAATCCACAGCACCACCCGCATCCCTAGGTCACATTTAAATACTGCCTATTTCTCTAAGGAGGACACATGAATCTCCCCCCTCCCTGTTTCAGCCTCACAACAACCCTGTGAGGTAGGTTAGACTGAGAGAAAGAGAGAGTAACTGGCCAAGGGTCACCCAGTGGGTTTCATGGCTGAGTGCAGATTTGAACTCTGGTCTCTCCCAGTCCCAGGTGCTAGTCTGACACTCTAGCCACTGCACACCACTGTTTCTTCCGCAAACCTTGAAATGCGCCAAAGCCTGATAGTACCTCCTTATTTTGCATGAGTGGTCCTGCCTTGGATACAGGATTGAGATTGCTACTGGCACATATGGCAGAACCCACAACAAATGATGTTGGAAACTCTTCAGATCCACAGGATGTGGTCTGCTATATATTCTCAACACTCTCTTGAGACAGAAATTCACTCTATTTGCCTATTTCCATTCCGCTCCCAGGCTCAGAAGAAATGGTGCTGCAGAATCCAACTCCAATAACTCATCATAACTAGATTCCCGGTAGAAATATTAGGGGGCACAGGAAAAGAAATCTATTACTCTCTTAATTAAATGGATGTGGAGAGGGCTGCGTTTCCTCTCGTCTTTGTATGTCTTAAAGCATAAAACTCAATTAAAATGTGCTCACAAGAGGCCATTTATCCATAATGAGAATTCTACATTTCTAATGCGCATTAAAATGTTGATATTGTTATCAGCTAAAGAGATAGAAAAGAGAAAGCACCATCTCATTTCTGATCTTGATTCCATAGGGATGTAAATCAGAATAAGCCTCAATAGTTTTACAAAATTGGCACCAGTGCAACTTTGCCTCAGAGCCTGACAAGTATCCATCATCTGCATGTCTGGCTAGATTTTTGCATTTTGCATTTCTCCACTCTTCTTTTCTTTGTTATTTCATATTCCTTCTTTTCCATAGAAGCTAGACAATGACTTCATGCACGCTGACAAAAGCTGAGCTTTTAAGGCATGGAGGTGGGGGGTGGGGAATCCTG